CCCTCGGTGTAACTCTTTCTAATAACGAACTGAGAAAAGAATATTTTTGCATTTTGGGTGTCCGCCCCTAAATGAAAAATATACACGTTTGGTCGTCCCCCGGCAAGCTTTAATTTAAATTTGCCAAAGTATCCTTTTTGAATAAACATATTTCGTTTTGGGACCCTTTTCAGCCGCAGATTTAATAAATATGCACAAGTTAACAATTCGAGAATTTGTATTAGATTTAAAATTTACATTTTTATAATTTTGATGAAGGGGTGAGAAGATGTCAGGAATTAGCGTTGGTGTTTTCGTTGCGATTTATAAATTGAAAACCGATTGGAAAAGATAATATTTGAACATATTATTTTGTATAAAATTTTCCTTTTCGTAGAAATTAAAACACAACTTTTCTCATGCATATAAAATTTTTCCAACACTCACTTGCCTAATTACAAAAAAACTGGTACCTATATGTTGCGATTTATAATAAAATGTTCATCATATCACTAGAAGTTCTGATAAAGTGAATGGTTGTTAGTTTGATTTCGTAAAATCTCTTTGGCAACTAGAAAATACGATAAAATATTTTGTGCCCAAAAGTTAATTTGATTAAATTAAAGTTTTATTAAAGAACATATTAAAAAGAGAAATGAGAAAACCATGTTTAATATTATTGCTACGTCCAGCGAAATTCTGGTCTCTCTCTCCCTAGTTTTTACCCTTTTACCTTTCTTTAAAACGAGCCTATGTGTCACTTCTTCTTATAGCATTACGGGGGAAACTAGACAGTTAAAGTGGTCATATTTTTATATATTAAAAGCAATATTTTATGCCTTTGGACAATAGAAGACAGAGGGTAAACGCTTTAAAAATGCCAGAGTGAATTCGACTTCATGCAGAAGAATTTTTATGTATTTTTAAAGCGTAAAATTTCCCTTTATCTTCAAATAGAAAATACCACTGTAAATATAAATTATAAATTTTATATGCTTTAAAGAGGTATTACTATATTTCCTGGCACCCACTTCATTTTAGGGACATATTTAAGAGGGCAAAGGGAAAATATGAGTTGCTTTTAAAGGGAATCCTATTTTGTTTATACAACGATAATGCCTTTCGCGAAGTATATGGAGCCATAAAAATGAAAAAGTAATTTTGCGTGCTTGTTTTGTGTAATATTATTTTAATAATAAGAAAGATAAATATCTCTTGGCTTGCCGCGAATAACCCTTACATAAATTTCAACCTAACGTCGTTGGCATATACAGACCTGAATTTATTATCTTTTTCGTTTATGTATGGGTGCTTTACAGAGTAGCTTCGATAATTGAACTAGGGGGTGAGTGTCTGTTTTATAAGAAAAAATAATTTTGAAAAAAATTAAAATATCATTTAATGCCAGAATTGGAACAAGAAATGGTTCTGAAAAAAAAAGGTCGAAGCTTTCGTCATGAGTTAGTAAAAGGATTTGTGACGAAAGACTGAAGTTGCATTCCAATGCATGGGTTTGTTGCTTTTTTTTGAATTTAAACAAACATAAACTTTTTGAAGATTTCATTTCGGTCTTGCATTACCTTTATCTACTATAATTGCTACGTTTCGGCCGATGGAGTGTTACGGTAACATTCATACAATTCCGTACGAGTTTAAATGGAAGTTTAACCGCAATTTCTCAGAATTTTTATATTCATCTGGGATTGACGATTGCGGGGATGATATATGGCTCTTGGAATTTCTTCTGATGGGTTGCTGAAGAGGTTAATGATTTCTAAAGCTGCTTCCTCAAATTTGCGTTTGAACTATTATTGTTTCTATCTTTGTTGTGTTGCTTCTAAAGTCATCATCATATAGGCGATCACTCGATACCGAGTATGATTATATCTCCTATTCTATTCTTAATGTCGTCGATTGTGCCTTTTCTTATGGCTATATGAACCAATTCTGGAGGCGCACACTCTGCCACACTCTTGGTACCACCCAGCCTCTGGTAGCATTCTCTCTTCCTCTGTTCTCTTCCTCCTTCCTGCGGTCCCTCTTTTCGGTCTCGTGTCAGCTTCGCTGTTCTTCAAAAGTTTGTGGTGCGTCGTGGACTACTCGACGCCATGAGGGACTATCATTTGCCATCGACTCCCAGTTGTTGGAATCGATGCGGCACTTCGTCATATTTTCCTTAAGAACATCTTTGCAGCATTTTAGTTGACCTCCTTGATTTCGTTTGCCGTCTTTCAGTTGACTGTAAAAAATCTGTCGTGGAAGACGTGTGACCTGTCCAGCGAAGCTAGTGCTGTGTTGGTCCAGTGAAGTAGGTATCTTTTTCCCAGCAGAAAGTCAAGATATTCCTCTGTAATTTCCACATTGAGCCTTGTCTCCCTTTTTAAAAATGGAAACTATGCAGGCAGATTCCAGTTTTACAGGTATAATCTATATTTTACTTATCAGGATGTGGGTTTAGGGACTTAGTGTGGGGCCTCCTTGTTTAAACAATTCAGCAGGAATGCCGTCAGTACCAGCTGACTTATTGTTCTTCAGTTGTCTGATTGCCTTTCCAACCTCCTCTAATCTAAGAACCTCGCTAAGTTCTTGTTGTATTGGTTTCTGTGGAATTTCGTTGAAGATGTCATCATTAACTTGTGATTATCTGTTAAGTTGTTCCTGAAAGTGTTCCATCCAACGAGAATTAGTGGAGGAACTGCCTTTAAGCAGTCTTGTGCCATCTTTGGATCGTAGGGGATTGAGTCCTTGAGTGGTTGATCTGTATACCATCTAAGTAGCCTGAAAGAAGGCCCTGGTGCTGTTGAATTCAGCATTTTGTTTGATTTTCTTATCCAACATTGGTTCTTCAATGCTCGCGTTTGCTTTTGAACTTCTGCTTTTGATTCCTGGTATTGCCTTTTTTTACAGACGAGCTGGGGTCGCTTTTCCATGCATTATGCGTATTTATTTTTCTTTCTATAAGGTCTTGGACTTCTGGGTCGTTCTTCTCAAATCAGTCTTGATGTTTTTTTTGTATGTAGCCGACCATTTTTTCCGAGGCAGATGTTATTGCGGTCTTTAGTATTTTTCAGTTCTCCTCAATGCTTTCCGAGTACTTCAAAGTAAGTTTCTGGCTTAGAGAGGCTTGGAAGTTTGTCCTGATATGATCGTCTTGAAGGTGATCTATGTTGAATTTGCGTTTCAGCTGCTTTTCTTGACATCTATACTTTGGCGGAATGCGCAAGTTCATTCTGAATCTTATCAGCCGATGGTCAGTCTAGCAGTCATCTGCACTTATTGAAGCTTTCGTAATACATAGATCATTTCGGTTCCTAGAACGTACAATAATTATTCTTCAAAGTAGTACGTGTTGAATGATGCCAGAATCTGTAATTTCTCTTTCGTGAATTTCCGTTTGATTAAGTCTCAGTCGCACATCAAATAGTCTTTTTGCCTTAGTTTCTTGTGTTTATGAGATTTTTTTTATATTGTTTTGGTTAGACGTGTTGTCAAGTTCATGGTTGAGACTGATTCACCATTGTATGGATTTTCCAATCTTGTTCTTTTTCTTTTCTGTGCATTAATATTTTTTATTTTATAGCCGTCTTGTGTTCGATATTTTCTGATGCTTCTTATTTCCCGAACTTTAGTTTTATCGGTGTCGCCGAATAATGAGTTGATGATTCTCTCTTTTATCATTTGACTGTGGTTTCAGTTGAGCTTGAGTTGAAATTTAAATATTGCCGGTACACAGAATTATTTTGTCCTGTACACTGCGAATTATTCAATATCCAGAAGAATGATGTTAATGAAAAAGTTTATTATCCATTCGGATAAAGTCACCTGGTAAAAGTCGCGAAAATAATTTAATGGGCGCAAATGAGAATAAAACAGCATGTGGTTAGGTAAGAGTCATTGATATTCCTGTGGTGACGTCTTGTGGAAACTTAAAAAACTTGACGCCCCCGTGTTTGGCTCCGGCGCGCATATTTCATATGCAGAAGGGCTGTTTTGCTTGCCGCGGCAATATTATTTCCATATTTTTCACATAATGCGCCGCTGTATATGGGTTTTATTTCATGTGACATCATGGTAATGCATTTTAACATCTTATCATTCATTGCGGCGTCTTCGCAACTCTTTAAAAAGTGTGCGCCTTTTGGCCCGTGTGCCCATATAATTTGTTTTATGAGGGGGTCGATGTTGCGCTCGCATTACCCCCAAATTTATTACACTTATTTTTAAAATATGTGCATGCACCATTTTTTATTGATATTTAGAAGCTTACTCTGCCAAGAGCCAAAATTTGTAATAATTCAATTATAAAATATAGACTTTTAAATCTCTAACATAAAACCAAAACTTAAAAACATTGCCTTTCGACCTATAAAAATAAATGTGGAATATTGGCCAAAGGGCGTTTGGACATTCAAATTGACTCTCGAAGGGAACGGATGGACACTCTAGAAGTAATAAGCTTAAGACGGTATGTTGACAGGAGCTGAGCTCGCTTCTCTAATCCCTTCTTGAACAAACATCTTGCTGGATAACTTAATTTCTCCTTTACGGCCGATTGAAACCCGGGGAAGGTCCAGACCCTTTAATATAGATATGAGTGGGTGCGCGTCGGCTGCCTCAATTAGAAATATAAACACTGGTTTTGTTGGAAAATGTATTTTGATTGTAAACATTAGTTTGTCCGAGTTAGACAAGGCTATATTTCGTATTTAATTTGAATTAGGGAAGGCAAAATGTTAAAATTACGCAGCAGGTCGCATTTATTAATATAATATCCAACTGGTTAGAAATTTGTAGGTGTGGGAGAAGACAGATCGAATATAATGTATTATGTAAAAAGATAAAACATTTTTTTTATAAAACTATTCATACCTCTAATTATCCACAACTACATTACTATGATACGCATCTTATATTTGAGAAAAATTATGAAAATAATCGTTTTAAGTAAAATATGGCGTATCTGTCACCACACGTCAAAGTGAAACATGCAAATTTAAACAGATTTCAAATATTCTTTTCAGCAGGCGGCATCCCTAGAGAAAGTTTTGAAGGAACAACAGCAACACCAGCAACTAGAGTTAGAAAGAAGTGGTTGGGACCAAGACAGGGGAGAAAGAGATCTAAAAGGAAATGGTAGTATTAGCCCACAAAGCTCAGAGCCGCGAGTTCAAAATGATTCTCCTTTGTCGGCACCGGAGTCGCAGAAAAATCTTAGCGCTACCATTCCACAAGTTTCACAGGTTTGAATTTTGTAGTTATTGGAAAAAAAACTAGTGTAAATTTATTCTTATGTTCGTTCTAGGCGGAGTCGAAACTAGGTAATGAGTATACCCCTTATAGTCAATCTCAAAGCTTAGGGCCTCAAATGATGTCTTCTCCGGCTTCAAATTTGCATCATATGCAACAATTATTACAGCAGCACGTACTAAGCCCTACGCAACTACAAAATCTTATGAAACAGCACACAATTCTTCAGCAGCAACAACAGCAACATCAGGTAATTTATGATTATAATGAACTTTTGATGATCTAAATTATGTCAGCTAAAATACGGAAGACTTTATTTATTATTACAAAAGATATGGATAGGGTAAATGTGACAACAAACAAAATATTACTGTTATAGCATCATCAGTTAGCAGAATTGAGTAAAAAACAGATGGAACAGACCATGCAGCAACTGCAAGAACAGCTACAATTGAATCTCATTCAGCAAACACATATCCTGCAGAATTCTGATAAAAAGAAAGCATCGGGATCGCTACAACAGCTTGGTATTCAGCAACAACAAATAATTCAACAGCTACAGCTAGTTCAAAGGCAGTACGTTGTTCATCAAGGTATGGGTATGCAGCCACTAATGATTGCTCAAGGACAAGGTAATTTTAATAATGCGGTGGGTTGTCTGTTATTATACACATCTAGAAGATGGAGGATTCTGAATAACGAAGAACAGATCCCGAAAAATTTTTCATTTGATTTTGTCAAGCTACTCAGTAAATTAATTACTCTAACCAAGTATATTCATAGATATATTTTTCGATTAAAGTAATTTTGTAATAAGATCATTATTATGAAGAGTGAAAAAAGTCACGGAAGAAAGAACAAGATTAGTTGACACATTTCCAGCTTTTGGGTAGGTATATAACCTCGTCTGTCCAATAAAAATCCTTGGGTCTGGGCAATGCCAAATAAGTAAATTTTAGACAGCATTGATGATGGTTTTGGAACGAAAAGTCACAAAATAAAGCAAGAGGGCGGATAATCACGTGCGATTAAAACTCTTAGCCAGTGACAGCTCGTCAACTTCATTTTATTTTACGATCAGTGGCTAAATTTAGACCTAAGTTTGATTCGATAAATGACGTGAGGTGACACTGGCTTGGCAATGCTCATACACCAATATCCCATACTCCCTATCCCTGCTCTAAAAGCTGGAATTGTAGTCCATCTATCCAATAGATAGCGGTTTTAAGCGCACGTGACCTCTTCCGATTATTCTCAATATAATTTATAGATTATCTTATAAAGCTGTTCTAAATTTTTTGCTTGTTGACATTCGGGCCGATTTTCCTTATAATAATAATCAAAATACCGATTTTTGCATACCTAGGATTAAATTCACGAGATGTAATGAGCCCTTGGAAAGAAATGAATGATCAGCAGCATGTGATCAACAATAAACCACCTACTGAAATTAATGGTAAGTGATGCTCTTAATTTATGGGATAATTCAAAAGTTTTAAACGAATTTAATGGAATAGAAGTTACCAAAATAAAATAGCCAAATTTAAAGACCCGTGAGAATTTTTCACCAATAAATTCATTAACTACCAATTTTGACTTCAGTTGATAAAATAAAAAGTAGACATGGATGTTTAAAATGCCAATTCTCTGTTTATATTTGCATGCAAATTTCACAGTTAAATAATTACGTTATATTTTTAGTGAAATAACAAATAAGCTGTTTTAAATTTTACGAAGCAGTAAACAATAAAACATTAACAATTAACGGTCGATTATATATGAAGAGTGCTAAACAGACATTTTTGAAACTGTGCGCCGTGAATAAAATTGTTTATAATCAATGTTTAGATAATCGTTTATAATTAAATTTGTAGTTTATTGTGAGAAAAACACATTCACGCAAGACTTCGGAAGATGGGAACGAAAAATATGTCATTAAATATAATCCGTTTATTTAACTCGAATGTTAGACAAACAAATATTGCCAATTACGAAAATATAGAGGACCGTAAAGTAATTTAGGTGAATCATGCTAACAAAATTTTATTCATACCTAATTTATCAACCAATCAAATAGTTTTGCAAATAAATGAGAGCTGCTGATGTGAGCAACTATGTCAGAAAGTTTTATTAACATTTCCAGAGCTATTTTTACCAAATCAAATTTTAATGGCCCCTGCGTTATATATTTTTGAACTGCTGTTAATCAAATATACAAGTCAATAACGGTTCTATTTGGTTGATATTAAAAGACGAATTTTTAAGTGTATCAAGCTATTGTCCAACATTTGCCAGATTTCTGAGGTTTTTGGGCGTCATCCTGTAATATTTTTAGTCTTTTTCCATTCTAACAACCGCTTAATTGAGTTATATTTTCATTACATCTCTAACTCATATTATTCTTCTTGTTTCCTTATTTTTTGAGCAATTTCTCTTGTTTATTACAAGCATAAACAATTGGCAGTTGAATTCTTCCTATCTGTATCTGTAAGTTTGGGAGGGTGGTATGCCACAGCACTTAGGCCAGAGTATCGAACCTATCAATTTAACGTAGGCGATGACGTCGCCGAGGGTGCCTCTGATCTCATCTTGGGATTGCCTAATCTGGCTCTGCGTATTGGCGAAAGAGCAGAGCAGACTTGTTTGATAACAAAGCCCTACACAAGAGTGTGGTACTAAGGTGCAACCTGAATAAATGTTTGTTTAACTGACAGTGGCCAGTCATGCCCCTTATTAAGGCGTCAACGACAGTTTCTGGCCCGCTGCAGCCTTATCTGGGTATCTTAGCAGCTCCTTGGATAAGTTGCAGCCAATCGTATCGTCCCTTTTCCAAAAGGGTGTGGGAGCGTTCTTTCATCATATCTTTGGCCACCGACATGGTCAGCCTCACGAACGGCTCCGGTCCAGAAGGCTTTAGCTTGGCGGCCCTCCTAGCCAGAGCATCGTCAGCCTGATTGCCTTTGATCGTTACCTTTGATCCAGCTGACCAAATTTTGTAAATAATTTTTCAAAATTAAAATAAACAGTCCCAAAATTGGCGTAAAGAAACCTAAAAAAGGGGCGTGGCACCCAAAAATTTCGCGCCTGCGGCGCTTTGCCTCCGGCAGCGTTGGCAGTGAGGCCGCAAGAAACACTTCCTGCAAATTTGCCCCCCCCCAAGACAAAATCTTGGCTACGCCAGTGCAGCTGACTACCACCGTGTTTTTTATCGACGCCTCTGTGAGGGTACGATGTCAATGTTTTACTAAATCTGATGTGAGTCGTGGTCTAGATAGAGCTACTACTGCTTGTCTGTAGTCCGTGTGGATGTGCACGATCTTGTCAATGATATTGTTGCTGACTATATGTTCTGCAGCGCTGGTTTTGCCCGTAATTTTTCGTTTAGAGGACATTTGGAATGGAGACCCAGAGCTTTAGTTCGGTTCAGTTTGAGGGCTTTGGAGTATACTCCGCATCCCGATCCTGTTCCAGTTTTGGATCCGTCAGTGTAGATGTTACTTACCCCTGCCACTGTGTTGTTTCCAATGCCTTTCGTATTGATTGTATAGTGCTTTTTGAAAACAGAATATGGCGTTGCAGGGTTCTTGCCTCGCGCCATATGCTGGCTTTCTGCAAACCTGCTTCTGCACTTGGTTCTATACGAACAGTGCGGAAGCGCACCAATGTGGTTAAAGCGACTCCCTTGACATAAATGTCCAGGGGCGTCAAACATAGAATTACTTCCAAAGCCCTAGTTGGTGTGGTTTTCATTGCACAAATTATGTTGAGGAATATCATTCTTTGAACGTGGTCTAGTTTTCGGCCAATAGTGGTCTGCTCGGCTTTATGACCCCAGACAATAGTCCTATAAGGTGAGCATAGGCCTGATGATGGATGACTGTATAGATCCACATCACTAACTTGGGGAGAACCCTAGGTCTTACGTCTACACTGTTCATAGGCAATATATGCTTTCTGTATTCTCTTAGTGATATGAGAGTTGCAAAATAGTTTGCAATCGAGTGTCATTCCCAGATATTTGACCTCGGTAGCAAATCTTAGTTTGGTATTTAAGAGTCTGGGTGCTGGTGGAAGTACCAGTTTCCTCTTTCTTGTCAATAGGACAGAGTGTACCATCTTTCTATAATTTGAAGAGCATCTTGCAAGCGTTCGCAGAGAGAGTTTTCGAATTTTCCTCTTTGCAAGATGACTAGGACATCTGCGTAAGCTATTGTGTAGTGATTGTCATTGTTCACCATGTTCCACAGAAGAAGTGAATTCTTCCTTTTGTTACCTAATTATACCTACACTATCATTTTGAGGTGTGTGAGCTTCAAATAATAGGAAGCCACCAAGTTTGCCGAATGTTCCTACTTGGATTTTACTTGCTAGTTGATTCAATTTTATTTCATTCAGGTGTTTTGTTTGTTTTAAGAAAAATTGTTAGCATCATCTTGAAACGAGCAAAATATGGGCTCAAAAACTTCGTTATTGAGCTTAAAGGTGTTCCAGGCCGCTTTTCATTAGCAAGTTTTTTCTCCGAAAATACTCTATATGGCAGCAGTTTATAAAATTTCTTTACTTTGGTTTAGCTGAAACCTTATTCAAAAAAACGAGCCATATAAATTAAAGATAAAAATTTTGCAGGAGTATGTAAATTTTTTTCAGGGTCATAAATATATAAACATTTTAGAGCAATTTTTCAAAAAATATAGCACCAGGTTTCAGCTAAAAGAGAGTTTTCCCCAAAATTGTTACATTGCGTTTTTCCAGAAAATAATCCAGGACTGCTCAGTATACAAAGTTCGCTCACGGAAGAAAAGTCTGGTAGAGCAGTGACTCCAGAAAGAAATCATCATCTGCTTTATGGACATGGAGTTTGTAAATGGCCAGGCTGTGAGACTATTTGTGACGATATACAGGCATTTATCAAGTAAGTTTTATGTGTAATGTATACAATTTAAATATTCTTGTGAAATCCCTAGCCTAATTTCTTTCTCCACATCTTGAATACCAAGCGCATTCGAAAATCGGTTTGCTGTTCTCTAGAGACAGATTAAAAAAGACGAATCAAAGAAATTGCGGCAGTTTTAATTTTGGTGGCACAACAACCAAAAAGGGACTTTCAAAGGCGTCAAAGTCAACATTAATTTTGGTTTATATTTAGCATTTTATGAGGTGATTAATATGTAAAAGAAAAGAGGGAGATTAAGTGAAACACCAAATTACAATATTTTCGTCGGCCCCGGCGACAAAAGAAAAACCAACCTGGCATAAATTAAACAGGACTGCGCGCTTTAAAAACTCTAATTATGCCATGTTTAATTAATATGCAAGGCGTTTGATTGCGGTGTTGTCGGATTTAAATGGTAATCCTCAAAAGGCCTTTATTACTTCCTCAACTCCGTCATTTAAAGAAAACGGCTTTCTTTTGCATTTTTCATTGGGTTTGAAGAAAAAATTTACATTGAACATATTTATTAGATAATGTATATCATTAACCAAAATATTGTGAACATTTTATAAATTACCTTTAGTATAAATATGATTTTCCATTCGCAATTTAAATACTACTGGTTTCACTTCAGATGAGTACGAGCTTACTTTATCAAACAGTTTGTTGTTGAAAAACGAAGTCTCATTTTTTAAAACCGAAAAGTTCTGTTCAAGACAGTTTTATTGTGAAACTCAAAAGTTTTTAATTACTGTTCTGTTGTTCGGCATTTCTTTGGAGGCTTATTATTTTGCCGGGGCAATTTTTAACCAAACAATAAGCGATCAATAAGCCATTTGCTGAAAACAAACACAATAAATTTTATCCCCTTAACAGTTTATCTACATCGTAAACCTCCTTATTCGCGGAACTCTTTAAGAGGGGAACTTCGTTTCAAATACACTGCATAACCATTTTGAAAACAAAGCAATTATGTAATTTTATGAGCGATTTTAATGTCCATCAAAGTTTTTTATTTCGCGGCTTTTATATTCTCGTTAGATGACGCGGAAATATTTCTTAAAAAACTATTTTGCCACATTGTTGTGTAAGAAATTGCAAAACTTTAAAATTTTATTACAGGCATTTAAATACAGAACACACCTTAGATGACAGGTCTACCGCGCAGGCCCGTGTGCAAATGCAAGTAGTATCTCAATTAGAGCTTCAGTTGCAAAAAGAAAGAGATCGATTGCAAGCGATGATGCATCATTTACACTTATCCAAACAGCTAGGTTCTCCCGATCCCCATAAAGAATCTATGGGACCGGTGCCACCAAAAATGCCGGTTAGTTCGGCGGTACCACCTCCTCCTGTAAATATGGGTCCCATGGTATCAGCGGTACGATCGCCAGTACTACATTCGCCAGCTCAGAATGTAACAGGCCCCATTAGAAGAAGACTGAGCGATAAATCAGCTCTGTCATTGGCAGGCGGTAAGTACCAAGTAGTCATAGAAATATCGGTAAATTATTTAACTTAAAGGTGAACCTTTTTACATGCTGCTCAAAGGTTTACCGTACATGCTTGAGAGAGCTGGATTAGATGTACAACAAGGTATTAAAAGAATATTCAAAAGTCACTGTATTTTTTTTCAACAAACCGAAAACCGTTATAAAATTTAATAAAATTTTCAGAAATCCAAAGAAATAGAGAATTTTACAAAAACGCTGACGTTAGACCACCTTTTACATATGCCTCGCTTATCAGACAGGTAAGTCGAAATTCGCGCGTGCAAAAAAACTTTTCGAAAATTAACGAAATATTTTTTAGTCGATCATCGAATCTCCTGATAAACAACTTACACTTAATGAAATTTACAATTGGTTCCAAAACACATTTTGCTATTTCAGGAGAAACGCTGCCACGTGGAAGGTATTGTAACTGTCTAATTTTGATTTTAAAACTTGAACTTTTTTCTTCATATGCGGTTTAGTTGTAGCCACAACTTTTAACTACAGCTCAATTTTCTTACGTTTATCTGTCTGAGGGCCGGTTTATTTATTACCTTCTGATAAACTGTCAGGTATGCAATCTGACGGATAAAAACGCAATCTGTAATCCCATTGGTGGGCCAGTTTTTCGTTGACCAATAGGATTAAAGAACGGTAAATTTATCTTGTAGATAGTTACCAGCAAGTTTATCTAAAGATGGAAAAACCGGGCCTAAAAATAATAAATAAAACAAGTTGGTATTTAGTGCATAGTCGGATTCATTTTTACATTAACTTTTCGGTTTTCTTTGTGTTTTCCATTCGTTGGCGACTGGTTATAAATATTCAGCACTTCCTCAGACAACTCAGCATCCATCGAAACACTACTAGGACATGAAAGTTTTTTTATTGCCATTTGCAGATATTTTTTGGTTGTTACTTGTTGCCTTTTGCATAGCAAACCACACCCTATTTGAAAAAAAGAAGTATGTATAGGTATACTAATGGGCAATAAACTGTTACCAAGCATTTTTTGCAGAATTGCCTATTTATTTGAAAAATTCGAATTTTTTTGACCAGACCCACACAGCAAAGTACGCCGAAATAATAATGTAGGAACAAATTAGACTATTACCTCTTGAGACTCAATACCTTGATTAAATAAATAAATATTTTTTTTTCAATTAAAATTGGGGCGAATGGTTCAGACAGAAAATGTGTCTACACAAATGGTTGTCGAGACTAACAGTAAATAGTTTGACGCATGTAAGTGGTGCTGCTAAATTTGTGCTAAAGATTGATTCAAGATTGTAGGTGGTTCTGAGTACCAGTGACTGATTATTCCAGAATCTGATTAGATCTAGAAGCACATATCAACATGTTCCAGACCATTTTTGTTATGTATTTACTATCTTGTTGTGTCCGTTGTTGGTCATAGGCCTCTTCCAGTCGATTCCAATTTGCTGCTGTAACAACAATCTAAGATTACAACCCAGCTCGTTGGTAGTCTCTTAGTTTCACCTCTGACTATCTGTTAGGTAGTCTACCTCTACTACCTTTGTCAATTCTCTTAGTATTTCGTCTCGATATCTTGAAATGTGTCCATGTGTTGACATCATGCATTATTTTATGTCATCTACACCAGTCCTTCTACCAAATTCTCATCTCATTTCTTAGTTCTCCCAAGCATCGCTCGAATTTCAGTACGGCGAAGAGTAGCACCAAATCTCAAGACAGGCATGAACGCTGCTGTTGTGTGGATGAACTTGCAAAGCAGTGGAATTTTTTTTTAGTCAATCTTAATATACCGAGACCATCTATCATACAACGTTAACTGTTTAATTAGACTAACATTTTGTTGTAAAGACCTACGGACTAACCATGCCAGCGATTATCTGTAATCTTAAGTAGATAACTGTATGGTTTCTATAACAAAAGTGGTTTTTCTTTCTTGTTGAGTTGACAAAATAGCTCCTCATGAATGTATTCTTTCTCAATTCTTTAGTTTCAATGTGATTCTAGGTCTGTTCCCACAGGAGTCTCTGACAGTTTGCAAACTGACAGTAAGCATCGCCCATATATTATGTTGTCAATGCTGTCGTTACAAGATAAATCTGTAACTCAGCTGAGCAACTTTTTCTGACAAGTTGCAAACTGTCAGAGACTCCTGTGGAAACAGACCTTCTGTGGGAGCTTCCCCGAAAAAACATGACAATAAAACAAGTTTGATAGATGAAAATCACATTAACTTTCAGAAAGATAGTTCAACCTTTCACTTACCTTTTGAAGTAAACTCAAGAAATGCCGCCATTTATCATGTTGTTTGATTGAGGTTATGTCAATTAAAATGAGTCTCAAGAGAATGGATATTATGGAATTAATTTACGAATTTCTTATTCATTAAATTATGTGGTATTGAAGCTTGCATTTTTTTATAACTAAACCGCTTATGGACAGAATTCTGAAAAGTAACATTTTGATAAATAATATACTGACAATCTTTTACTTAAGCTTATGTGAAGATGTATGTATTTTTGGTAAAGTACATAACTCTAATCATTTCGTTGATTTATACAATTTCTGGGATCGATAATAATAAGTACCTACGATAACAGCTTTAGCTTGCATGCAACTTTTTACTCCTAATTTTTATGTTTGCAAAAGTCTTAAATTATTGTTTACAAAAAGATTCTCATTTTATTTTCAATTTCAAATTGTTTTTCATTTTGTTTTTTTTTTTTTTCATATTTTATTTTTAATATATTATTTTATTTGCTCAAATCCAAGAAATCTAACATCAAGTTCTACCTGAATAGTTTGTAATTTTTGCGCTGTAAAATTTTTTGGATTTGAGTGAAAACGCAGCTTGCAACTAGTGCTAGGCGCGTTGTTCAATCGGAGGTGTTTGATTTGTTGTTAGAACGCAGTTCGCCACAACCTGTCGCTCCACAAGTGTTTCATGCGCGTGGAGAACGTGAAGGGGGCCGTGTGGACCGTTGACGAGGTGGAGTTCTACAAAAGGAGACCGCAGCGGTGCTCCTCGGGACCACTCACACAAACTGTCGTCGGGTACGTCCCTGGTCCACTGGTGCAATTTGTACCTTTGTGTGTTTTGTGATTTTTTACCTCTTTTTTTCTCTTTTTTCATATATTTACTCTTTTTATATATTTCATTAACATTTGGCTTGTGTGACGAGAGTGAAAGTGTGTCTAGCCGGTTCAGTAACCGCATGGGCCGCGCAGGCTTGGGCTACTAACTGCGTTAATATTACAGGAAAGGTATAGTCGATAGCGTTAAAAAAGGTATATGTAGGCATTAAAAGGTCGTAACTCCCCATGTGCGAACCTTTCATGACCTTGACTTGATTGTTATCTTTCTCTTTCTTGGGTCTGGGTGTATAGAATGCGATTCGCACCAATCTGTCCCTCCACAAGTGTTTTGTGCGCTACGAAGACGACTTTGGCTCATTCTGGATGGTGGATGATGCCGAGTTCGTGAAACGTCGACACCTGTCGCGTGGCAGACCACGGAAATATGACCCAACCCCGTCACCCACTCCACCCCACTGCGCACAGTAAGCACCAGTTCAACTGTCACGTACCACGTGACAATGTCGTGCGTGTGCTGCTGTCTGCTCGGCTCGCTCTGCTTTTAAATTTTTACTTATTGATCAGAAATTTTGTATATAATTTTCCAAATCAAGCCAAGCCGAAACTCAAGCCCAATCCGCCAAAATAAAAAATGTTGTCTTTTTACATATTCTATCAATGTCTAAAAGCGACACAACAGTAGTGGTACTTGATGCTTGTACTGTGACTTCTTAATTTGGAGAATATTCTGACAATTTTTAATGATGGAATGCTCCATATGCCTGTATATTCTTTTTTTTTTAAATTCAGATAGAAGTTGTTGATACAGAAGTTCAAGAATTCGGCTAAAATTCTAAACCTTCAAAAATTGGAAATTACAAATCTTAAAAGTGTAATTTTGAACTAATCTAAAGAATTACTGAGAGTCCTATATTTTTCCTTTTAGTTCTAGATAAAAGTTGTATGTAGTGAAATCGCAGATGTTTCAACCTTGCAGAATGAGAAATCAAAAAAAAAGGACAATTACGTATACAACAGTGTAATACTGCAATTTGAATCTCTGAGCTCACTCAGTAGGTACAAGTGATTTTATTGTGAATACATTGTATGACTTTCTTGTAAGTAAAACCTTGAGAAATCCTGAAAGTTACTGAATTGAAAGTAACAATGAGAAAGACACATGTTTAAGATAGGGGAAAACGGTGAAAATATGAGCACATAAGGTACCTACCTATACGAAGAAATGTGCAGGGCAGTTAAATTTTTGTGCGCCTATTTTTTTTTTACAAAAATACAAATCCCAAAAAAATACAATTAAATATACAAAATTTCTGTTCAATATGAACTTACCACTTATTTTATCGATCTATGATTTTAGAAAATTGTTGTTTCTACATAACATTTTATGGGATAAAAAAAGTAGTAAGGTAATAATAATATGTAATAACCCAGTAAAGTCGGTGTAATGGCTTTGTTTTCTATTAGAGACAGTTGCTAAGCCTAGATTATATTATCTCTTAGGTAAGCTGATGTTAGCTGCTTTTATTAGAAAAGTTCCTAAAATAGAGGAAATGTACGGTACCGATGTCAGACACACACACCACTACATTATTTTGATGCTTATAGAGCTTGCTTTCTTTCTCAGACCATAGATTGCATGAAGATTTTTTTTTTGAACATCACAAGTCCAATACAAATATTACTACTTCAAATATCTGTAGCCTACATCCACATACTATTATATTATTTTGTATCATGACGTCAATAACAAATTTGATTGTCCTAATATGCAGGTTGATTGAAAAAGATATCGGATGAGGGAAAATTTGCATATTGCTTTTTGGAAAGCGTTTTTAAATCAATCTACACAATCTATTCCATCGGACAATAAAAAAAAATACTTAAATGAAAATTTCAAAGTAGGTAGTTTCACTCGAGCCACTATTTTTATAGCTCATCATGAATTCTGGTTCTACCAAGGAACAAAAATTAAATGAAAAGGTTTGTTATAACCTTTCAATCGTTATAATAGTCATATTCACGCGCCTAATGCATAGAGGATATTCAAGTTAGAGGTTGCTTTTTAAATTTGGGATAATAATACCTAACTCAGTATTCACTTAGATTCAACAATATTCCTATTTTAAAGTTAAATCAAGATTACGGCTTCTTTTTTGGTTGAATATTTCTCTTCGGGTAGAATTTTCCAGGCATTTTCCTTCAAGAAATCTCATTGTAAGGGTAAGATCACAAGATCTAGTGCTGACAGTCATCCCAGATGTGAGACTCAAACATTGAGGCTATATTGGAGAACACTAAAATTATCTGGGTCTTGTTCAAACACATCACGGAGACCATACCGTTATGAAGAAGTCTCTGTCGCACGGGTTTTAAACTAGGCTGAAAATGCTATTCACGGCGAAACGTTTTCATGATCTAGATGTGTTAAATCGAAAAGAAAAGGCCCACTTTCAATAAGAAATAAGGGCGGAAGAGGACTTTAAAAGGCACCGAGTTTTTAGACTTGGCTAGGCGGGCCTTTCCCCTAGGTACTCGTGTCAGTCAGGTTCCCACAGCCACCACAAGTAATACACGCTTGTGCCTTTCAACTCCGACCCTGGAATCAGCATAGCGGCGAACATTTTTACAGGTGCAGGAATGTGGTCGACCTAGCACCGTAGTCCTTGTATTAAAGGGGGTGTGACCAAAAATGAAAGTTTTAGTGCAAAATATCGAAGAATAAATATTTTCGAGTTAGGGCAGTTTAAAGTTACAAGTAGGTGTTTGTGACGTCACACCGAATTATCAGGCACAGCATTAACACGTGTAAAATTTTCCAAAACAAAAGACTATTATCTCACTAGAGCAAATTGCAACCAATCAAAGTATAGGGTACGGTTCACTGAAGACTGAACGAACAGAAGACTGCGATTTCGGCGGTTGTGACATCACAAGTTCCTGCATAATTTATCTTCACAAGGAATTTTCTCGGAGACTATTTTGAATATAGGACTGCGGTTTTCACGAGAGATCTTAGATTTTTTTTTCTTGATTGGTATTAAGTCGTTTTTTACGGTCACACCTCCTTTAAAGGGGGGTTACTAGGTGAATCCCCTTACCCTTTACAAGGTCAGGAATCGGGGTTTAATCCTATTAGCTTTCGGAACACCACACTCATCCGTTAGCCAGATATACTGGGATAGGGTAGACTTTAGGGGTCCTTCGCCCGTGCCAACTAGTGAGACTACGGGTATCACTCAGGTTATACCTTTAACCCCCCGCCCGTACCCGGGTCCTTGTTTAACCAGACAAGTTACGGTTCGAGATAAAGCCCATCCATCAACCGGGAAGCTGGACTCTTCGAACTTTCAGCCAGATTAATTGGAATCATTCGTAGAATTCCCCTGTTCTTACGAGAGATGAGCCGCTACCATCTTTCTGGAGAGAGGCTCAGGAACTTTGTCCAGAATTCTGGGATCGTTCGAGAGCTTCTCCCTCCTTCCCCTATCGTGAGAGGGGAGACACGACAGTTAGGTGGATGTTAACCAGATTGCACCAATGAACCAGCCACCGAATCACGTTAATCCACTGTTATGTCAACAGTCGGACGACAGAAATTTGCAAAATCTTCGAATGGTAAAAAGTAACCTCAAATTTGATCACCTTGAATCTCTTTCAATTTTAATCGCAAATAAAGTTTTAATAAGGGACTAACTAAATATTGCAGTACAACGACTATTGTTGTTTCCTGTCAATTTTCAAGTAAAAGTATTTTTGTTTTCAAGCAGGTGAAAATGATTCGTGGTATAGTAATAACATTTCACACGCTGTTAGTGATGTATTATATGGTCTTTATTTCCTTAAAAACGCAAATAAACATGCACGAATACAATACATATTTATTAGAAGCCTGTACTGCGATTTAGTTTTTTTTTAGAAATAAAAAAATATAGAGCCGGCTTTGGAATGTTTGGAATATAGCGCATAGCTGCCGTTCACAGATCGTTCTAACTTTTTTTATAAAAATTTTAATTCAGTCATCTAATAAATTCTTTTCGTGAAAAAGTTTAAACGATCTGAGTGCGAATGTTGCATTTTAATGTTTTGAATGAATGTGAATTTAGTCCTTTAAATGTTACATACTCCTGAAGAAACTATCATTAAACGTAGTCATTTATTATGAGTTTGTAAACCAGAGCATAATGATATTTTCTCCAATAAAATCATTAATTTGATTTGAAAAAGGTATAAAGGTAAAAATGAGTCCCAATTTTTCAAACATTTTTTTAAATTTTTAAAAAAATTTATAATTTATTTAATCATCTAAATGTCGCATGTCTTTTTTACATATTCATTTTTCTAAATATTTAGTAAACGTTCCTGTATGCTTAATTTTCTTAATTCTTTTTAAATATTTTTGAAATAATTTTTAAATTTGCATTATGTGGAAAAAAAAGCTCGGGTCAGTCAGTCAGTCGCCAATACTGAAGAGATTCACCTTCAAAAACATGTAAGTCACTTGCATACAGGAACAATAGTTATTTTCAAATTTTATAAATGTTCATTAAATTGCAAATACATGTTTTGCATTGTCAGTTCTGAAAAAAAGCTTCAGCTTTATTTAAAATAATGCAAAATATTTGTTGCAATAGTTTTTCCAATCATAAACTCACTCAGAAATCCTTAACCTGCATCATCTCTGAATCCACTGGTAAGCTATTTTAAATTCTTTTTTCGCTTTTCCTTGTTCTTTTAGTGTTATAGTTGTTTCAAAAGTTTGATTACAAAAAGAACTGGACATTGAATACTTTTGTTTTGTTTAGGGGTGCTTCGTCTAAAAGTCCAACAATGAACCATAGCCCTACGCTATATGCGGATCATATGTCGGCCAATCAGGTAAGGACTTCGTTAAAAGTGACAATAATTTCATTTTATTGAAACAAAATCTACTATACAGGGTGTATCAGGTTTGAGTACAAATATTTCAACATGTGAAAATATGGCCCATTTCAAGCTTAAACTGTCCTATTAACCATGGGTCGATTCTTGGTATTTTCAGAGTTATCGCATTTAAATTTAGAAACATGTTAACAATGTGACAACATTAAACAGATATGTATTTATTCTCCGGTCCGGTGCACCTGGGATAAAATGTAAATAAACTACTGGTAAATTTAAAAAAAAAAAATGTAAAGCATGTCTAGGAAAATAGTCGATTTTCAAAAAAAAAATCCTACCCAAATGAATTTTTCAGCAATGATTGTAGGTGATCATAAAACCAAAGATTTCACACATGCACCCCTCTGGCGTTTTGCGCTATAGGAGTTGAAAGTGCGCCATTGGCGATTACTTGGTACATATTTTACAAAAAAATGTTTGAAATAAAAGATGTGCAACATTATTTGATCTAACATGTTTATCTAGAGACTTTTTTGATTAAGGGCCGTCTGTGGTCATAAGGGCCATTTGAAATTTATAATGAAAATAAAAAAATTTAACCTAAGGGAAGTGTCCCCCCGCTGAATGGGGGTGATTTACAAAAAACGTTGATAAGGAAAAATTGTAGGAAATATAATCTTATAAAACTATTATTAAGACATTTTTTTTGTAAAAAAATTAAAAACCTTCAACTATTGAAAAAAGGACAGGGGGTGAGTAAAAACTTCATAGAGCAAAAACGTTGTATGTGTTGTAGGAATTTTTTTCACGTCGGTTGAAAATTTTCATTTTCATTATAAATTTCAAACGGCCCTTATGACCACAGACGGGCCTTAATCAAAAAAGTCTTTCGATAAACATTGTAGATCAAATAATGTTGCACATCTTTTATTTGAAACATTTTTTTTGTAAAATCGATAGGTACCAAGTAATCGCCAATGGCGCACTTTCAACCCCTATAGCGCAAAACGCCAGAGGGGTACATGTGTCATATCTTCGGTTTTATGATCACCCACCCGCCCCCTATCATTCCTGAAAAATTCGTTTGGGTGGGATTTTTTTTTTTGCAATGCATGTATTTTTCGACAATTTTCCCAGACACTCACCTACTTGCCAAATGCTAATTATGAGAATATTAATTTTTGTTAAGGTTTTCAAAACTAAGAATAGACTGCGCAGAAAATTCTCAATAAAAAACTAGAGTAAATGTTCAAAGTGTGCACCATTTGCGTTCAAACACCCTCGACATCGACGAATCCAATTGCCACAAAGTGACTGAAAAAGGTTTGGTCTGCTGCAGCGAAAATACTATTTCGGAGGTCATTTTCGTCTTAAATTTCACGTCCATTGTTGACTAGAGATTTTATATGACAACAAAAATTGAAATCAAGGGAATTTAGATCTGGCGATCTAGTAGGCCATTTTCGAGGCTCTAGCGCATTACGGCCTATCCAACGATCGCCAAATGTATCTCTTAGATGTTGGACAACAGTTCCTTCAAGATACCTACCACGTAGAAAAGCTCGATATAGCATGCCATTTAATCGTGGTGGAACTTCGAAAGATCCAACCACACTGTTTCCAAGAATTCCTGCCCAAATATTTATCGAAAATCTTTGTTGAAATCGGCTTTGTTGAATGCTTTGTGGATTTTCTTGTAGATAGAATAGATTGTACAGAATTCGGATATCTTTGGATTTCTTGGAGAAGCCATCGACAAAAACAAACTTGACAATGCTTGTACACGCTGTATATGGGTAAAGCAAATTTTGTTTTAGGGTCCGATAAACTGCTGAGTGGGAATATCTAACTTGATCGACTGCTTATTCCAGCGCTATCTTCCACTATCGCTAAAATCTGTTCTTCATCGGATCGACAGGAGTCATTTGTCTTGCAGGTCCCCGAGTACCTAACATTTTGCACACTTACACTTCTTGTATCACGCAATCTTAGCAAAACGGACACAAATGTTCTTTCATTTGATGCCGTCCTATTATGCAATATTTCCCTGTAAAGTCTGGCGGCTAAATGAACATTTACATATTTGCATACTCGACATTTGTAAATATTTTATTAAAAAAAAAAAAGAATTTAGCGCGTTTTCAATACTTCAAGTAACTGACAAATCAAGAATGAATTATTATCGGTTGAAGTACCTGAACCATCTATTTTTTCTAAAAACTGGATTTTTGATCCCATGTTGTATAAACTCTTTTTGTTCAAAATGGGCCATATTTTCACGTGTTAAAATTTTTATAGTCAATCTGATACACCCTATTTTAGTCTTACATTTTTGTCAATAGGACCCATGTAGAATTGAATTTATTAGATTTAAAATGTCAATGTCAAAAAGTAATTCCTAATTACGAAGGCGCTACAATATTCCTCCCAGTCATTTCATTTCTGTTACGGGATGGATTTATAGTGGAATAATTCGACTCAACTTGCTATTATTTTTTGTATCATTATTTGTTTATTATAATTATTTGAATAAAGTACCAGAAGTGAAGGCTACAAGAAAACGTGCATATGCCGACTAACCTAACTGACAACAACTGATATTTTGACAATCTTGACATGCTGACAAGAATCCGCACTACGGTGTTGCCGGTTCATAACAACAGCCTTACAGCAATATAACAAGCCATCTACAGACATAGACTCATCAGCAAAAGAATTTATTATTCTATTTATTGCAACAATTTCCATTAACGAATATAAATGAGTCATAAAGAATTAAAAAAAAAAACCTCTTTGGTGTTTCAAGCTAAAAAAAATATTAAGGGAAGGCGCATGGGAAATATCTCGAATTCATATATAATATGTACAATAAAATAGGAATTACAGTTTTTGCGATAGCACATAGTACAAACGTTTCTGAAAATCTCAACGTTTTAACTTGTTACATATAGTTTATACAAGCTTCGCTCATGGAAGAGAATAGCCTTTCCTTTTTGACCAATCCACCTATGCTACCAGGACGACCAAGAGATAGATCAGAATCCCCACAACATGATCATCATATCAGGTAAGTCGTTAATTTTAATGCCTCGTTAGAAACATTGAATTGAGTAGGCGATTTTCCCATTCTCATTTTATGTTCATGTCTAACCTACAAAATATTCTTCTAAAACTTTTTGGGAAAATAGCCTAAAGTATTGTTGTGGCGCTATGATTCATACCTCATCATAGGCAATCACTCGATAACAACTGTGATTATCTTCTCTTCTATTGTTTTTGTCGTCGATTGTACGTTTTCTGATGGCTATATAAACCAATTTTAGGGCCGCACATCCTTCCACAGTCTCTGGCAGCATTGTCTCTTCCTCTGTTCTCTCGCTCCTTCCTGAGGTCCCTCTTTTTGGTCACTTGTCTGCGTCGCTGTTCTTCAAAAGTTTGTGGTCCTTCGTGGACTACTCGACGCCTTGAGGGCCGTCGTCTCCCAGTTGCTGATATCGATGCAGCACTTTGCCATATTTTCCTTGAGAACATCTTTGTAGCGTTTTTGTTGACCTCCCTGATTTCGATTTTCCTCTTTCAGTTAACTGAAGAAAAACTGTCGTGAAAGATGTGTTCCGGACATGCGGACGAGATGACCTTTCCAGCGAAGTTGGTGCTCAATGATAATGAAGTTCCATTATCGATGTCGTCGATACTTTGGCTTTGCTCGTAATCTGTTTAGGTTGAATAGGCCGCCATCATAGAGGGCGATTTTCTTCTCTGGATTTCTCTTGCACTAAAAATCTTGTCTGCTGTACCTGGGTTGGGTCTGAAGCCACACTGTGTCTCTGGGAGATTCTCTTCGACAGTTGGGGTAAGACAATTTGATAATACTCTGGTGAATATCTTTTCCACAACAGAAAGTTAATATATTCCTCTGTAATTTCCACATTGAGCCTTGTCAAAACTAGCATCTATTGAGGCATCTCTAAGTTCGGCAGGTATGGTCTCAGTGATTCATATTTTACTTATTAAGATGTGAGTTTCGGCACTCAGTCTGGGGTTTCCTTGCCTAAAGAATTCAACAGGAATGCCGTCAGTACCAGCTGACTTACTGTTCTTTAGTCGTCTGATTGCCTTTCCAACCTCCTCTAGTCTGGGAACCCTGCTCGGTTCTTGTTGTATTGGTTTCTGTGGAATTTCGTGGAAGATGTCATTATTGATTTGTGATTCTCTGTTAAGTAGTTCCTGAAAGTGTTCCTTCTAACGAGAATTAATGGAAGAACTGTTTTAAGCAGTTTTGTGCTATCTTTGGATCGTAAGGGATTGAGTCCCGTATACTATCTTAATAGCCTGAAAGAAGGTCCTGGTGCTGTTGGATTTAGCAGCAACTACATTTCGTTTGATTTTGTTATCCACCATTGGTTCTTTAATGCTCGCGTTTGCCTTTGAACTTCTACTTTTGCTTGTTGGTATTGCCTTTTTCTATAGTCAAGCTGGGGTCGATTTTCCATGCATTATACGCTTTTCTTTTTCTTTCTATATGGTTTTGAATTTCAGTGTCATTCTCATCAAACCAGGCTTGATGTTTCCTTTGTATATAGCCGTCCGTTTCTTCTGATGCAGATGTTATTGCGCTCTTCAATTTTTTTCAGTGCTCCTCAATTTTTTCCAGGGAAGTTTCTGGAAGTTTGTTCTGATATGATCGTCTTGAAGGCAAGTTTATTCTGGTTAATGGTCAGTTCAGAAGTCATCCGCACTTGGTAAAGCTCTCGTAATCATTTCGGTCTCTAGAACGTACAATTATATAATCGATTAGATGCCAGTGATTTGACCTAGGGTATTGCTAGTGACTTATACTGTCAACTAGCTACGTAGGAAAGGAGGACCCGGTATTCAACCTTATTAATTTAATTGCCGATTCGATCGGATAATTATTGCAATTCAGCAATAAATTGATATAAATAGTGGGTCAAGCCAAGCAACAGGCAGACCTGAACCAGTGTTAGTACCGCCACCCTGGGAACACCCCTCTCGAATTTAGTCTCCCCAGTGCAAGTACTGCCACCCTGGGAAAGCCCCTCTGGGAAACTGTATCGTCATCTAGTGCGAGTACTGCCATCCTGGGAAAGCCCCTCTAGATGAGGATCAGTTAAAGGACGACTAACATTCTACGTAACATTAGCATCAAACAGACATTCCTTCCTAAGTAGCGTCAAACGTGTGGCCCTTCCACAGAAGAGCATGTATCAAGGATTCATGACGTGATGACTTCTTAGTAAATATACATATTTTTATATAAAAACAGAGCGAGTTTCTCTCCATCTATCCACCCAACACCCCCCGTCACAGAGAAGCTGTGACAATACAATAACGTTGGCGAATAGAATCTAATGTTGAATGCATATTCTGAGTCTGTCCTAGCATAATCTGAAAGTATATGCAGCTTCGTCTTCATCGGCTTCGTCCGACTGTGAATAAAGTGGTGTCGTTTTCATTTGAATTTTTTTTCAAAACCCCTACTTCGGACCCAACATTTCTTCCCTGATCGGTATGGAGATATTTCAGTTTCCCGTGTCTGGCTACGATGTTTTCCAGTTGAGCTTCAACAACCTAACGGCTTGTTGATTGGGGAACCATACGAGTTCGATTTTAGCCTTTTCCTGAGCCATTGCTCAGGATCTGATCATTATCAGAAGAAACGAAAAGTGAAATAGTCTAAAACCATGTGAATTTTGAATCTCACTCAAGTTTCTAATTGGTCAATTTTCAAATATTTATCGTTACCCAAACTGTTGAAATTTCTATTGGGCATGTTGTATTGTATTGTATATTCTAGGTCGCCAATGAATGGAGGTCCGCACATAAAACAGGAATTAGCGAATCAAGATCACCACATTGTGAGAGAACCAGAATCAATGCATCACCTGATCAAAAGAGAGATGCTTAATGATGCATACGACGACATGGATCAAGAGCACCAATCTGAAAATATGGCAGAAGATCTGACAATATCTTCAGATCATGCCGATCATCAGACAAATATAATTGACGCATAGTAAATATCGGTGATGTGTGATAGACATTAAAACACAAAATGGATCTCGAATTTCACAGACTCATAAAAATGCCGATTTTAGGTTAGGTAGTTGATTTTTGGAAAATCTTCCCGTTGGGTGAAGAATTTTTTTGTACATTTCTGTGTAAATAAAGTGTTAACTATAGCGAAAAAGTACTGTTACTTGTTTAGGTACGAAATCAGATACTGAATAGGCAGGTTGAGATACAACTTGAGTTTTTCTATATACAGGGTTATTTGTTAATATTATGGTGAAATGTATCCATTTTTGGCTAAGCCAAATAATTTCGAACATGTGGGCATCGTGAATGAGAAAAAACGTTTATTTTATAATAAACTTTAAATATGTTTTATGAAATATAAGTGGTATGAACAATGTTATGATGCAAGATGCGAGGATAGTATTAAAATTATCCCTTCAATCCGTTTTCTTATTACAAAATTATTCTCGTATTATGAAAAACTAAAACGTTAATTAATATTTTCATTTTCGATTAGACAACGAAAATTAATTTTGAAATTAACAGGGTCGTTTGTTAATATTGTAGTAATATAAGCAATATTCAATTTGGCTGAGCCAAAAATTAGAAGGAAAAACGTGTAAGTAAAGAATAATAACGTTTCGTTTAGCATATCAGTTTTTGCTATGTGGCGCCTCATAAGTATACAATGGTGCAAAAAAAATTGTATGCGAAAATAATATTTGTGTTTAAAACTACGGTTGCGCTCATATAGTGATGTAAAATAAGCAATACTGTAAAATACTATCGTTAAGCCGATATGCTATATAAATTATCTTTACAAAAGGAAAAATATTCCATATCATTATCTAAAATAAAAGCATATATCAGTGTATAAAAGAGTAGATAAATCTGTTCCACTTTAGGTCTCCTTTAAATTTTTAATATTCTTCTGTCGACCCAATTCAACAGGCAGTATTTTTTTGTTGTACTTTTACAGGGTGCCCAATAGGGACAAATGTTATTTCTATGCACCAATATTCAAAAGCTGATATAGAGCAAATTTTTCAATATTGCATTTAGAGTAAAAAAATTTGCAGAGTCGACGTCTCCTTCATTTCTATCTGCAATGATCTCAAATGTTTTAATAATAATTTTCTAGAAAACAATGCATTTCAAACGATAATTTAAAAATTGTTTATATTTTGCCTATATTAGTTTAAGAATTTATATTCCTAATAAATTAATTATTATTGCGCACACAGAATAAAAATAGACTGATGGAATTTAATCTTTCACCCTGTATTAGTTTTTAAAAAAATCCAATGTTTGCCAAATAAATTTGCCATACAAGGTGTGCATAAAAAAAAATAGATGTTTATCTTTAAGTTTTTCAAATGTATTTCTGTTAGCGCTATTCAAAAACAGCTAGAAATTTTATACACACCCTGTATATTTTGTGATAGACCTTCTTGTTTATTGCTTTACTTTCTTCACAAAGTAGGTATTTTATTTAATTAGTTTATTCATTTTTATATAGGATGGAAATCGATCGACAGCGATTCTGTTGTTTATATCTATTTTGTATTATAAGCAGTGGCAAATTTATAAAAAATGCCAACATATCAATGTAGACAAAGCATGGCATATATTTCTGCTGTATAAGGCTACTGTATTGAACAATATGGCGATAGATCGATTTTTATCTCATAATTTCCTAATTTTTGTTTCGCTATCCAAAAACATTTTCTGAGATTTATTATTGGAATATAAAATATATAATGAGTCTTTGAAAATTTAATTTATGGGACAACAGCATCAAAATGTCACTATTTTATTTAGATGAACCTTTTTTTGGATAAATTTGTTATACATGGGTGTCCTTGAACCCGTACTGCATCTGTCAGGTGCGTAACTACTTTTCAAGAAAATGTATTTCTTTACACTTTATCGGAAATATTCCAATTCCTAGAAGTGGATAAATTGCATGCCTTCCTATCTCGATTTTGCTACACTTATGTGGTAAATAACTTTAAATTTAAACTTAATTCATTTTGCTTATCAAATAGATACCAATTAAGCTAATTGATAGATAAATACCTGGGAGCTGATGCGCTATTTGAAGGACACCCTGAATATTTAAAATAAAAAAATAATTCCTAATTATTGTACCTTATATTATGTTCTAATGTTTTTTCAAAATTTGTTTGTTTAAAGAATTAGGTCAGTTAATTTCTACCTATAAGTTTTGGTGACAATATAACCTGTGCTGAGCAAAGTTTTCAGCAATTTCATTGAGTTATTCATCGTTTTTTTTTATCCGTCCTTCGCTTTTCAGCACAAATTAATTTTTAAAAACAATTCCTTGGTGAAGCTATTCTGATCCTGGATCATGTTATTTAAACCTAATTATTTTTTTGTAAATACAATATATTTTTTTTAAATCTTTTGAGAACAAGTTACTCCTATACTTTTACATATACATGGTATTTCCAAAAAAGTTGTAACTTATTGATTATTGATGTAAAAGTAAATAAATTAAAGAAAAAAAAAACCCGATTGAGCTTTATTTTTATTTATCTTTTCCTTTACATAAGTCTCGACAACAAATCCCCAAAAGTTCGTTGATCAAATATAGCATACAATCAAAAATAAAATCCCCAATAAAAAGTTCACCACCCTTGCCAACTTTCTATGAATCACCCCCTTAGCCCTAATGTAAATAAACGTAGTTAAAAAGTTTCTTCCCCTTGGCAAAGGGTAATTTTCAATATTCTAGGGTATAACAATAAAAAAAGATCAATATTCCAAGTAATATAAGGTGGGCTAACTTATTTTCACATTTCATTGCAGAAAGCTGCAATGGGGATGTCGATTTTATTTCGCCTCCAATTATAAAAATCGATATACCAATAGTAGCGTCCTGTAATAAAATGTCAGTTATTGCCATCATTTTGTCCAGAAAACAATTTAATACATTGATTTGGTGCCATCTACAGGCCAGAAGTGCAATATCACTACCTATATCAAAAGTTTTTATCGAATCTACTTGCAGACGTTCACCTTGACACAGTGAAGTAAAAAACTCAAGAGAGAAAAACGTCCATTGGACTTTAACTGACGTTTTTCAAATCCGATCGGATACCTTTTTTAAACGTTTCTGTGCTATTCGCGAAGGGCTCCGAAGTAGGCGACATCTATGATCAACTTTGGTACTCAAAACTCAGTGAACAACAAAGCAAGTTTGCATTCGGCCCCCGGCATTGTTTCTGAAAGTTTTCAATTTTCTACAGAATATTATTCATTTTATGTATTGTTTCTGTTATATAAATCACAAAAACATCATAAAACACAATTTAACAAAAACTAACCTCAAAAAACTAGCTTTGTTGTTCACTGAGTTCGGCAGACATATTGCTATTTTTCGCGTAATTTAGCGCCATCTATTGGTATAGGAATTTCGCCAATTAGTGTACTATCACCTCAAAAAACAATCAAGATGAGAAAAAGTTTTTCAACTATGGAAAATATTATATTAGGCAAACTACACGACAAAGCACAACAATCTGCAAGACAACAGAAAATAATCCAAAGCGAAATGGCGAAAGCCGAAACGAAAACAGAGCAACCAAAAGAGCAGCTGCATGAGGATAAAAGCATTTTTGGATCATTATCATCATCATCATATGCGATGACTCGATACCGAGTATTCTATTCTATTCTTATTGTCATCGATTATCCGTATTCTGATGGCTACATAAACCAATCCTGGAGCTGCAAACTCTTCCACAGTCTTAGCACATCCACCCTCTGGCAGCATTGTCTGTTCTCTCGCTCCTTCCTGCGGTCTCTCTTCTCGGTCTCGTGTCGGAGTCGCGTTTTTGTGGAGCAGTATGATTTCGATTTCCCTCTTTCAGTTGACTTCAGAAAATCTGTCGTGGAAGAAGTATTTTGGGCATGCGGACGAGTGACCTGTCCAGCGAAGTTGGTGCTTACTGATAAGGGCTTCCATGCTAGTTGTTTTGGCCTCCTCTAAAACACTAATGATCTTTCGTCGGCACGCTGGTAGTACTTCTCTAGGCTGTAGTGTTTTCTGTAGGTGGTCCATGTTTCGCAGCCATATTTACCTAAGTGTTGGTATTTCAACTGCATTATAGACGCAAAGTTTGGTCTTAGCGCTGATGTCGTGATTGTTGAAGACTCTCTCTAGAATTCGCCCGATCCCCGCGCTAGCATACTTCAAGCTTCAAGCTATGCTGGATTTCAGCGTCAATAGTTGCATTCGCTGAAAGAGGGCTCCCGAGGTATGGGTAGTGTACAGTGGCTAAATAAACCTTTACATACAGTGGCGACAATAGAGGTCCCGCCGCTATCTTGTTCCCGCAACCTCTTGTTACTTTTAAGTATTAATATATAGGATTTAAATGGTCATCTATCATAAAAAATTGAAATCGATATATTTGATGACCATTATTAGGTCCATCAAATACGTTGTTTTCCAGGATTTATGATGGATGTTCACCTAAATCCAGAGCTGGGCAAAGCCCTCAGTGAAAGGGCTTGAAGCACTAAGCCCTAAGCCCTCTATCAAAGTGCTTCAATTTCAAGCACAAATTCCTTTTTATTTTCAAAAGTGCTTCACAAGCACAAAGCCCTCAAAGTGATTTGAAAAGTGCTTGAAGCACATCAAAAGTGCTTGGGGTGCCTTGAAAAGGGCTTCAAGCTCTTTAAATGTGCTTCAAGCTCTTTGAATGTGCTTGAAGCTCTTTATATGTGCCTAAAGCACTTTGAATTTGTAATAAACTTCTCAAAGTGGCATAAGCTACCGCGTACACTCATCACACAGAATTGGTATAGTAGAGACGAACTTTACATTTCACAGAGTAGCAGTGGTATGTTTTTTTTGAGATGTAGTTCTGGGGTACTTGAGGTAGTTGGGGTACTACATGGTAATTCAATTTTAAGGTTTTCAAAATGTTCAATGGGGAAAAGTGAAAAAAATCCAGTGCTAAAGTTAAATAGGATACCAATATAAATTAATTATTTATTTGAATAATAAGTTCATTCATTTTTTTTTTAATTCCATTCTAAGCTCAAACCCAAAACCTCCATTGTTAAGAGAGAAAAGACATAAGACGGTTCAAGTTCAAATAATGGAAAAAAAAATTAAAGGACAAAATATGATCGAAATTTTTTAAGTGGGGGATAGGTTGAATGATGGTCAATTCAAATTCCTTTCAAAGTGCTTCAAGCCCTTTTAAAGTGCTTCAAGCCCTTTTAAAGTGCTTCAAGCTCCCAAAAGTGCTTCAAGCCCTCTTAAAGTGCTTCAAGCCCTTTCAAAGGGCTTCAAGCTCCCAAAAGTGCTTCAAGCCCTCTAAAAGTAATTGAAGCTCATTGAAAGGGCTTGAATTACTTTTTTCAATTACAAATTACCAAGCACTTTTCTAAAGTAATTGACTTTGCAAGCCCCAATTACAAATCTATAAAAGGGCTTGAAGCACAGGGCTTTCAAGTCCTCAAAGTGCTTCAAGCACTTTCGCAAGCACAAAGCACTCAAGCCCTGCCCAGCTCTGCCTAAATCCCATATATTCATATTTAAAAGTATCAAGAGGTTGGGAACAAGATGGCGGCATCTTCAATATAAATATATGGTATTTTAGAACCAATCAAAAATAAGACAGCAATTGTCGCCACTGTGGTAATAGAGTCACTGTAGGGTAGTGTTCTACGTTCTGCAAAGAATGATCATTTATAGTTTTGGAGCTTGGGGATTAGTATCCGGAGCGGGTTGGTGCAGAATCTGCGTCTTGTTGAAGTTCACCTCATGGCCGATTCTGCTGTATGCCTGGTTGAATGCATTGATAATGGACTGAAGAGATTCTTCTTTATTGGCCATCACGACGTTATCATCCGTATGTTGAAGTTCAATTGTCGATGTCGATGTCGCCGATACTTTCGTTCGTAATCTGTTTAGGTTGAATAAGCCGCCATCAAGTATGTACAGGATTTGCACTCCTGACGGCAGGTGACCCTCGACAAGGTATGGATCCTATAAATAGAGAAAATTAAGTGGGTGCAATAACACAATAAACCTTTGCCAATATCTTTCAAAGAGCTCTGTCTTGACAGAATCAAATAATGCTTTCACTAAATCTATGATGGCAATGTATAGAGGGCGATTTTGTTCTCTGGATTTCTCTCGCATTTGTCTTGCACTGAAAATCATGTTAGCTGTACCTAGGGTTGGGTGAAAAGCCACACTGTGTTTCTGGGAGGTTATGTTCGGCATTTGAGATCAGAAGCATTTTTGAATATGCCTGTGCTGTGCTGAAATATAATTCGCAACGAAAATCGCATGAAGTTAAACCACTTCCAATTTTCCCGCTTCCTTGATCTCAAATCCTACGAATTCGCAAAAAAAATTAAAATCTGACAGATGTCACTTTTCTTGACAGTGGGCTGACCAATAGGGGTGGTCTCCGCACCAAAGGTGAGTTCAACCGACCACTTCGAGGTGTCGCTATATTTGAGTGTAGCGATAAATAAATCGGTTGTCGCCTGGAAAATTTTGCATGATTGAAGAAAATGATTAGTTTCTTTTGTGCCCCCTGAACATGCGAGCATAAGTAGTAAAACTAAGTATTGTATGTAATGCAATGATGTGTAGTTGTTCCATTTGTAAAACCTGCGCAATTGTGCTGGCTCAATAAAGAAAAAAGAATCGTTACGAGAATCAGTTATGATAGAACATTATTCACTAAATAGGTATCTAATTGTATTTTAGGATGGGGGTATTATTTCTCAATCATTAGATTCATTTATTGGTAAATATCGCTTAGGGATACAATCTCACCGATCCCCTTCCTAGGTTATGGCAACAAGTCGATTGATGTTTGACATAGTTTCAATTTTTTAATAGTCAAGATGACGCCGTGGCATAACAAACTTGACGTCCATAAGAGACTGTGTATTTGCTGTAAATTTCTAAAAGTGTTTCACTTATATTTAGGCCTTTTTACCTACTTGGGGTCCGTTTTGTAACTGTTGCCCAGGTATTTTATCGGTAGATAAATATTCCAACTAACTCGGTTTTAACGACGAACCATTGAAGGAAATTGAAATAAATTAAAATTCATGAGATTCATCAAATTAGGCAATTCAAACCAAAGTGAACAACATGACGGCCAAATATTACCTATGCAGAGCAAATAGCTTTATTTTGGTTTCAGTCAGAACTAAACTGCTGGACAATTGCATTCGAACAGAAGAAAAAATTTGCCCTACTTTCCAGCTCGATATTTTTGGAACCAAAACATCAACCTCTGGTTTCCATACACAATTTTTTTCACAAAAAGTCAATCGGTTGGCCCGTGAAAACCAGAGGTCGATACTTGGTCTGGTTCCAAAAATATTCAGCTTGAAAGTTAGGCAAATTTTTTTTCTGTTCGAAAGCAATTGTCCAGCAGTTTAGTTCGGAATTATTCTGCACATGCGCACGTTAATAAACGCGTTTTTGTTTATTCAGAATCTTAATCGAACTGTGTTAACAGCGTTTTGGTTTATTTAGAACTATTTAAGAACGATTCTGCGGTTGTTCTAGAACGATTCTTTTATTTCTTGCTCTGAAGGAGAAACTGTTTTGGATTTTGTGATAAGCGGCTTGGGTTTTTTGGTTCCGAATTGGTTCAGAATCGGTATTAGGACAGTCCTCCATTATTTTTTATGCACAAGCAGTTCTGCGCAATCCCAGAACCGTTCCAAATTTCGAACCAAAACAAAGCTAATATTTGCAAGAACTTATCCTGATGTTAGTCAGAAATTTAACTTCAACACTGTATGTAGCATTAAAACAATATTTGTCTATAAATAATGCTTAAGATCTTTAATTTCCTTTCCCAAGATATCAAAGTCATAGTGATGCAATTTTCTTTTGCTATAAATACATTACAGCAATCAACAAATAATATATCCAATATGTAACAGTATATATCTCGAAGGCATATAAACATTTTATAAAACTGACGAAGAACTGCATTTTTAGAAATTAATTTCATTAGTCTATGAAGCCTTACTAAGCATTTCTCTCTGAACTTTGCTTCTGCGAAAACATTTTGTTAAGAGGAAATGAAATTGTGATTCCACCAAATCTCCGTGCAGCCGTTCCGAGGAATCGGTGGGACGAAAGACACACCATCGATCACAACATGCAGTAACTTGCCTTCCAAAAAGCTTCCAAGCCAATGGCAAAATCCTTTCGGAAGACCATAATACGATGAAATTTTGTTGAGGAGTCTTTTGTGCCACACTTTATCAAAAGCCTTTGCAAGTGGAAGTGGCTGCAGTAAGCAGATGCCATCAAGCTACTAGGTATCGTCCGCAAAGCTGTATATGGGGTTTCTTGTCACATTTAACAAATCATTTATAAAAATGAGAAACAGTGTTGGAAACAGTGCTACAATTCAGAATTTCAAATAGGTATGTCTGACGTACGCCAGCAGATCTCCTACTGATCTTTGAGAACGAAAGCCGTACTGTTTGTCAGAGATGAGCTTATTGGCTTCGAGGTATTTTACCAGTTTCAGGTTGACTGCCTTTTCCATTACTTTCAAAATTGCCGATATAAGTTAGATGGGACGGCCATTGCTAGAAAGAGTTTTCTTATACATCGAAAAGAACTCTTTAAAACCAGATTTCAAGTATAAATATCAATCTATATTGTGCTGAAAATCTGGAGGATTTGAGCCAATGAATAAGAAGTTGACCCAGATCACTCAACGCCAAAAAGGCAAAATTATTGGAAATAGCAAAAAGAGAAAAACAGAATTGCGAAAATATTCTATCTAATGGTAAAGCTATAAAAAAAAGTGGAGAAGTAGGTACACACACCAAACATACTTTGGAATAATAGTTACGCCGAATAATGTTAATGATACTAGAGAAATAAAGGTAAGAATTTAGGAGGCTGGCGCAATTTTTTCAATAATGAAACAAATATCATGTCGCAGATATAAAGGCGGAAATACATATTATTCGCAGAAACTTGTACTGGAAATAACAAAACACCTACCTACCAATTCGTCGAACTTATATAAGAAAAAGAATCCTGTGAAGAAGAAACCGTTAATTGAATTTTGTTCCTAGTAAGTTATTGTTATTTTCGATATCAAATATTCTTCAGTTATTAATAATGTTGATTGTGTTTCTAATTTCGATTGGCACAAAATGAGCTGACATGGATCACAGTTCGCATTGGAATTCAATATTAAAAAGCACGTTATTAAAATAGTTGTGTATTATTTTCCAAATAGCGGAATGTTTGGTTGCAGAATTTCGTGCTCACAATATCTAATACGGAAATGGCTCTCTTGTTCCACAATAGAACAGTTTTGAGTAATAAACCACTGAGGTAATTGGCTTATTGCAAAAAACCTTTTTTTGTCGTAAGCTGTCTAAATTTAGAATATATGAAAATTAAAATTAAATGTCGAGTCTAACAAACGAATAGAATTTAATTACTTCTTAATATTGAATACCTTCCAACTTCAATGACCTTTCGCTGCACGTGTATAGTTGAATCTATACCTAATTGTGTAGGTCGTGATAATGAATATATTCTAGATTTTTCCCAAATGCTCTAGTTTACATGTAGGTACATATCTCTGTTGAAAAAAGATATGTAAGCCAAGCAAAAGAATAAATCAATAAGCCGATTTATTTAAAAGAAAATACCTAATTAAATTTTTATTAAAAATAACCAAGGAAATATGTATTTTCCCTTATACCAGAGTCTGGATATTATCGACCACAAAATCCTGGATGAAAGCACCTGACCATGCGCCATGGGGCTTTTCTGGGGGTTTTGAAATTTCAGATCTTAGTGACATCTTGTTCATTCACAACTTGATGCAACCCGATAGGGGTAAGTTTGTTTTTTTATTACTATAGATTAAATAAATTTCACTTTTCATTTTGCTTATACAATTCATTTCAACTAAATTTTTTGTGGTTGAAATTATTTCCTCTGTATACTTTTTAGAAAATTATTATGTGAAAGCCAACGCCTTGCCTAGTTAGGTACATTAGAATTAATTTTTTTTGCTGGTCATATAGATACTTTATAAAATATTCATTAAAATGAATTTTATAACATGGAAATTCTGTTCTTCATAGCTAATATCATCATTATTATTCTTATTATAGTCACTAAATACAATTATTATTGTACGATTTTTCCAGGAGCTAGTACCTATAATTTTTTTTCTAGGCTAGAATCGTAGCTCCCCTATAATACAGAATGGCAGTGTGCCGTGCCATTTTCCTCTTCATTTGTGTATTTTACTTGAGTGATGAGATTGTAGGGCAAAGCGATTTACGAAGTGCATTGGCTGCGATAGATCGTCGTCAAAAAGAATTAGCGGATTACGAAGAAAAACAGTATGGTTATAATCCAGTTGATCCGGAAGATAATCTTGCTTTTTTAAGTAATGCCGCAGGTAGAAACAAATACTTATTAGGTTTTTTCATTCCTTTAAATGTTGATTATCGCTGTCCTGCACGATTTTGTAGATGATGGGTGTTACGATAATGATTACTTGGATGATGATAGTTATGAGCCTCTGAGCAAGAGATTAACATCCTCGTTTAGGGAGAAATTGGAGGAAGATAAGGAAAAGCAGATGGAGGAATTTGCCAGGAACCTTTATAATAATTTGGAAAATAATGGAATGCCTGGTAAACACCCTTTTTAGAAAATAACACTGTTTCTTATTCATTAATCATTAACTAAGTTGTATTACATTTTGACCTTTGTTTAAAAAATTCTTAATTTAGGTGAGAGAATGACAGGTGCAGGGAAGGGTGCAAGTATTACATAGACGCTCCTTGGGGTTTGCAAAACTACCATTGCGCAAACCATAACTACCATTACGTATTTGTTTAAAGTTTGGATTTTCAATAATAATCATCCGTTTTTCATATTGGACAATATCGATTCCTTTACCCATATTTTCAGATTTTTTTTGACAAATAAGTATAGAGAATTAATCACAGAAATTGACAATGCTGAAATGTACTGGGATTGCTATTTAAAAAAAAAAAAAATATTTTTCCTGTCGCCACGTTTATTCAAAAATTATTTGATCTTGTTCGTCTTTTCCACCCAAAGTCTTTTTCTAAACTTCCAATGTCAAATATGGTAGTTCGCCTTCGCCATAGTTAGGTATGCAAGTTGTGAGTTGTGACCCTGTGTTTCGCCTGAATTAATTTTTTCTGTCCACTGACCACCACCACAAATATTTTCAGCATTATATTTGATGATAAAGAAAACTTAAAGTCTAAACACTTTGCTTCTTGCACTCAGTAGTAGGCAAAGTATAACTTCAGGTTGTGCCACACAAAAACAATTTCATATTGCCATTTGTCATTGACACAACCTAAGGAATCAACGCAAGGATTTAGCAATCGATTGACCTATAGCCGCACAATATATATCTAACCAAAAAATCCTCATTTCAGAATAGGGTAATTGGCACATTTTTTGATTATATTTTTTTTTTTTTTCGAATCTTGTGGGTTAAAATAATATAGAATTTTTTTCCAAGCAAGCAAATTAAATCTAAAAAATTCAAACGCGGGCAAAAGCTGCTATTTCGTTGGGACGTCATTACATAGTAACTTGCGATGTTGTCAAATGTTCATATAGTACAATTTTGCGCGGTCACGTAAATTGTACAAAAATTAAATATTTGTACTGGAGCGTTTATCTAACCTAACTTTTTGTTCACTGTATCTATCTATCATTTTTATTATTCATTCATTCTTCATCATATTCAACATAATAAATGTTAATGTCCTTATTTATTTCAAATGCTTAGTCATTTACACAAAATATGCCTTTCTTTTTGCAAATGAATGCATTTGTAATTAAATTTGGTTTTTGAATTTATTGTATTATTGTTTCACAAAAGAAAATAATCTCTCGACTGTCAAAATCTGATAAAATCTTCTGCCTCCAAAAATTCTCCTCTCAATTTTTCCGTCTTATTTTTTTGTTTATTCCAGGCTCTTGAGTTTTTTTGTAAATTTTATCGAGAAAATTTAATAGCTTGGAATAGAAACAAAAAATACTTTGTATCTACTTCTCCACCAATCTCTATATTTCTCCATATTTCCAGTTCAATTTTCGTCTATTTCCGTATCTCGAAATTGTCAAAATAAAGAAAATTCAAGAGCCTGAAATAGAAAAACATTAAAATGTCCGCTTATCTATCAATGTTTTCTTATACCTATCTCTTCTCCTTTTTTCATATCTCTCGTTTTCTTCTAAGTTTCGCTAAATAGAGAAATACAAGTGCTTGGACTAGAAATTTCTACTTGTCTACCAATTCTTCTCTTTTTTTCCGGCTCTTGAAATTGTCCAAATAAAAAAAATTCAAGAGCCTGAAATAGAAAAAACATTAATTTCCATTTTCTATGAACTTTTCTTATATTTCTTTCCTCTATTTCTCAATTTTTGTGTATTCTCATCTCTTGAGTTTTCGTTTGCTTCTAATTGTTGAAAGAAAAAATTGAAGAGCCTGGAATAGAAAAAACAATAATTTCCATTTATCTGCCAATTTTTTCTTAATTTGTCTTATTGCTTCTTCTCTTTATTTCTCAATTTTTGTCTATTCCCATCTCTTGAGTTTTCGTTTTCTTCTAAATTTTGCTAAATAGAGAACATTCAAAACTTTGAACTAGGAATAAAATATTTTGTGTTGACATGTCTACGAGTTTTTTCTCAATTTCATTCGAATTTCTTCTGTCTATTTCTCGATTTTTGTCTATTCCTGGCCCTCACATTTTTCGAAATAAATAAAATTCAAAAGCCTGGAATAGAAAAAAAAAACATGAATGTCGTCTTATTTACCAACTCGAAATACTCTTTTTAAATTAGTCACGTTCTTGAAAAATATTCAATCTCTTCTGAATACATTTTTGCGTTGAAAACTCCCATATTTTCTCTATTAATTGTGTTCCGGCTCTAATCCATGTAAAAGCGTCAATTTTTTTAAATTAACAAATGACATATCCAGTTAAATGAAGTAGGTATCTACCTATATTATGAGCTTCTCACTTATCAATTATCGTTGGCAAGTCCTTGAAGGAATTTCATTTCATTCGACTGAGACTTGCAGAACTGCAATGTTAATATCGACGTGATTTTTCTTCACTCAAAATACGTCCATATTAATTAACTTCTTACAAAAATAAATCAGCAGGAAGGGTGGTGAGGAAGTGTCAAATACACTAACGGAGTAGATTGGATCGGTTGATATCTAATTAACCTTCCGGAATATGAATACAAAAAATTTGTGTTTTATGAAACGTAATTAAACCTGTCAAATTCGTTCGGAGTAATGCTTTATTTTTTCAAGAAAATACTTGGTATTATTCAACGAAGGTTACGAAATATCGATGGATTTATTATGAGCACAAAAATGATCTCAATAACTGGTTGAATTTATTTAAGTCAACCTATATAATATACAAGGAAGGCTTTCAATTGAAAGGATTATCGATTGCGTTTTTATCCTTCAAAGACATTAAGATCAGACTTGGAAGAAATATAAATCCTTCTTCAGTTCTCGGACCCTAGAATACCATGACAAAAAATAACTGCTGGGTATTGACTGCAAGTTTTCTTTCCTTCCCCAACTTCTCCCTTCATTGAAGAAAAACGTAAAAAGAAAACTGGGATTAATAACGGAAATAAAACTTGTTTGCCATTTGCTTACATTGGCTATCATAATATAAGTAATCCAATAGGTTAAAATATACAACAAATATATTTAGTAAAAAATGTAATGAATAGCAAATCTTATTAAGCTATGACCGACTTATAATGTTATTAGGTTCACATTTTTTCTGTTTCAGGTGGAATTAATAAACATTATTTGCGAGAGTTATGGGATCGATATTATGGAAACGATGTAAATTATCCCAAGAATGCTATAAGCAAAAGATATTACCCATTATACGGAGTAGAAAATATAGGTCTCAGAAAGCGTGGAAATTATCTTTCAAACGACGATGAGCCAATTATTCCTGTGAGCTTTTTTATGTTTATACTTCTCGAATTGTTTAAATTATTTATTTATTTATTCTAGATTAATTACCTTGCATCTCGAGATGATGATTCCGATCAAATGAATTATCCCGGTAATCGATATTTACGCTATCAAAGTCACAATAATCCGTACGGTGGAAGCAAAAGTTTTCTATTAGCCAAAAGAAGTAGCAATCTTAACAATGATAAAAAAAGATCATTAAACATGCAAACTGATCCCAAAGTTAAAAAAGATTTGAGTGACATTTTTGGCAATGACCTTAGAAGCGACATTGGAAATAATAAGTTGGGTGACGCAATCGGTACTACAACAAACAAGCCTGAGGAGACAACTGAAAAGAGAGAAAAGGATACTCCTACAAGGAAGATTGAGAAAAAAGACAAACCTAAAATGGACGCCACTAGAGATGATTTGAATAAGGAAATATTTGCTCCTGTGGCACTACAAAACAAGCAAGAAATCCAGATAAGGAAGAAATCTATTGATTGGTCTGATTATTTCGGTTTAGACCGAAGGAAGAAATCCGACTCTAACGAAGGCCTTGACAACGAATGGTGAAGAATTTGCGTAACCATTTACTTAGACAGATAAAAGCATTCTTTTTTTTTTAGGCTAATGGAGCGATACCATAAGGCCATTGCTATTACACCAAAAAAAAGAAACGCCGAACTTCCAATACAATCCTTACGTAATCACGACAATCCCCAACAAAGAGGCGATTTCCATGGTAAAGAAGAACAAAAAATTATTGAAATGGATAAAAAACTTGAAAAGTTGGAAAACAAAATTGTGGGCGACGCTCTGAAATATACTGGAGCTCACCAAGTTGAGACAGATTCAAAAGAGGTGAAACAAACTTCGAATTTTTATCATATTAGTTCGGTAATATAATGACAAAATTCAGGTTTAGAAAATTGGTAGAAATGTTAGGGATAGCACAAAAATTACAAACCGAGAAGTCAAATAGTGTGCTTCATCCCTTAGGATGTCGTTTCCATGCTCATCTTGACTCACATCTTCTGGCACACTAGTTTACATGAACAGCAAATTATTGTTAAAAACAGATTCGGCTGCTGGATCTTCATTGTCATAGTTGGGGTTAATACCCGTACCACTCATTTTTCCCACAACCAATAAATAGCTTCTAGTGTTGTCGTCTAGTCAGCATCATCATTGGCGATCACTCGATACCCAGCATAATTATCTTCTATTCTATTCTTTTTGTCGCCGATTGTGGGCTTTCTGATGGCTATATAAACCAATTCTGGAACCGCACACTCTTCCACAGTCTTCGCATACCCAGCATCTAGCAGCATTGTCTCTTCCTCTGTTCTGTCGCTCCTTCCTGCGGTCCCTCCTTTCGGTCGTGGACTCCTCGGCGCCATGCGGTCCTATCATTTGCCATCGTCTCCCAGTTGCTCGTAACAATGCGTTATTTTGGCATATTTTCCCTTAGAACATCTTTGTAGCGTTTTTGCTGGTGTCCTTGATTTCATTTTCCCTCTTTCTGTTGACTGTAGAGAATCTGTCCTGGGAGGCGTGTTTCAGGCATGCGAACCTGTCCAGCGAAGTTGGTGCTTAATGATAAGGACTTCTATGCTAGTTGTTTTGTTCGTCGGTCTTGCCATTTATTCCGTAAAATCCTTCTTAGACATCGCTAGGGGTATTTTTCTTGGCTTTTCATGTGTCCTCTTAGGGTGGTCCATATTTCGCAGCGATATGTAAGTGATCGTATCACACCTCCATTATAAACGCGAAGTTTGGTCTCAGCGCTGATGTCGTGATTGTTGAAGACTCTCTCTAGAAGTCGCCTGAATGCCGCGCTGGCACACTTCAAGCGATGTTGGATTTCAGCGCAAATGGTTACATTCGCTGACAGATGGTTCCCAGGGTATGGGTAGTGTTCTACGTTCTGCAAAGAATGGTTATTTATAGTTATATTTGGGGCTTGGAGATTTGTATCGGTGCGGGTTGGTGCGAAAACTGCGTCTTGCTAAAGTTGATCTCTAGGCCGATTCTTCTGTATGCCTGGTTGAATGCATTGATAATTGCCTGAAGATCTTTCTCTGTATTGGCCATCACGACGTTATGGTCCACATATTGAAGTTCAATTATTGATGTCATGGATACTTTCGTCTTGGATCATAACTTGTGCAGGTTGAATAAGTCGCCATCAAGTCTGTACAGGATTTCCACTCCTGACGGCAGGTGACACTCGACAAGGTGAAGTTTGGATCCTATAAATGTGAAGATAAAAAAAAAAGTGGGTGTAATAACACAGTCCTGTTTACCGCCTGTAGTTATTTGAAAAGACTCTCCTTGTCCATCGCTGCATTCATATTATCATGCAGCAGGAGGAGTATCTGGATGTACTTTTGTGGACACCCATCTTTTGCCAATATCTTTCAAAAACATTCTCTGTTACTAAATCATAATCAAATGCTTCTACTAAATCTATGAAGGTCATGTATTTATAGAGGGCGATTTTGTTCCCTCGATTCTGTTCCCTTGATTTCTCTTACATTCGTATTGCACTGAAAATCATGTCAGCTGTACCTCGGCCTAAAGCCACACTGTGTGGCTGATATCCTTGCAAGTATCTTTCCTGCAACAAAAAGTAAAGATATTCCTCTGTAGTTTCCTCATTGAGCTTTGTCTCCGTTTTCGAAAATGGTAACTATGGTGGCATCTCTAAGTTCGGAAGGTATTTCTGAGTAATCCATATTTTACTTATTAAGATGTGAGTTGGGGGACTTAGTGTGGGGCCTGCTTGTTTAAAAAATTCAGCAGGAATGCCGTCAGTACCAGCTGACTTATTGTTCTTGTTGGCTTTATCAAGTTTGGAATTTGTAAGAATTTTGTTCGATGTTCTAAAATTGTTACATTATTGATCTGTAATGCATATTTTTAGAATCAACAAATAAAAGACAATATCATCTCACGTTTAGCCCAAGCCTATAATATTGAAAAAATGAGAAACGCTTTGGAAGAATACAAAATTGAGGTTGAGAAGGCACGGAAGGAGGTTGAAAAGGCACGACAAGAAGTTAAGAAGGCGAACACCGATGATAGGCAATTTTCCGACTATACTATGGAAGAAAAAAGAGTTTCTGTTCCTAGAAAAGAGGCCATTGACGATAGCAGAGATAACGGCGAACCTGATAATAATATAAAGTGTAGAACTGCTGAAGAATGTCATGAACAAAATTTTAAAATACCATCAGGTGTTTTGGATAATCATTTTTCAAACTTGGGTAAGAATTTACAAAGTTCACTATTAACAAATAAGTCAATTTGTTTAACGGTGATATATAGATAATGTTTCTGATAAAAAGGACAAATAGTTTTGGTAGAGGCATATTTATTTTCTTTTAGCGAAAGGGTAACTTATACACGGTCTTGTGCTAGGAAGGCTTGAAAAAAAGTTGAATAATGCAAGAAATATAATTTTCAAATTTCATTTTCCTTTTCTAATTTTAAACAAATTCGCTCAATGTGAGCTACCCACCTGCATTTAACCAGTCCTGAATGTCCACCTCTGGACACACGCCTTCCCTTTATTCCTCAATGTAAACAATCCTGCATCCCAAAATTCAGCTTTTTGCTTATCCACATGTTATTAACTAGATACGATGGATGAATAAATCAATAATTTGTAAGTAAGTAAAGATATACAGACCAAACCAACCTACTAGACACGTCCGTGGAGTAATAAGACGAATTAGCTTGTACCCGGTCTCGGCGAATCGAGGTGGTGCTGCCGAAGCCGATTGAAGCGGACCTGCCGAAGCCGAACCAGCCAAGCTGCCAAAGATGAACGAATTTGAATATGACATGGGTAATATGGGTATCAGTGAACTGGTCCCATTGAAGACTATGGGTCTAGTAGCCTGGTCCGGTCTGTATAGCCGTTCATATTTTTTTTTTTTTTTTTAGGGATTAAATGAGTTTTGACAGCACGTTGGTTTTGAAAAACTTTGCATATCATGTATACACCTAACAAACCACCGTTGTTTTTTTTCAGAATGTCCAGCCATACAAAGGGCTTGTAATGATGTTGCATCACTTGTTGGACACTATGGGCATGTGTTTGAACCAGCTTGTACTCTCCATCAAATGTGTTTGTTGTGTGTAAGTTGCATGCTCTACAAAATTTTAATTTTAATAAATAAAATTTAATTTCTTTTGCAGAGCAACAACAGCTGGTTTTCCCCAACAAGACAATGTAACTCGTTATTTATAACAAAAGCTTTTGAGCTTTGTTTAGGAAAGGACGAGTGCAAAAAAGAAGCACGCCGATCCCTGAGATACTTATTAGACATCAATAAATCTCTACAAGCTCAAACGGCCTTGACTGACGAATGTGAATTGCAATGCCCTAATACGGATATATTTAAGTAAATACAATTTTATGTATGTTATCCAAAAAAGAACCTATACCTATTCGCTAAGAAAATATTTGGCCGATAAATGTATCTCCCGTACGTCTATCTTACAACTTACCAACACAACGTCCAAGTTGTGTACAAAACAGTACCTACATACCTAATATCACTGTATGTTTAGAAAGACAAATATTTATGAATGTCTAGTTGTTGCTTACATTATTTTTAAAAAAATCACTTTAAAATTGTTGTTATCCTGTTCAATTTAATTTAAAATATTGTCAGTTTATGTTTTAAAGTCTATACTTACCTATTCTAAAGCAAGTTATATTATTATGGTATAATATCAATGTAACTACTCGTATCAAATACATAAAGTAGACATGTATAATAAACAACGTAATATATAATCTAATATTATATTTGAGAGATTGTCATAGGAAATATTTTAAGTGAAAAAAAAAAGGCTAAAAAACGATCTCGCGCTGTCCTGATAACTCTGTATGACAATAATTTATATCAAACCCGCTGAAATATCAGAACATACAGGAACATTTGAAATTCTAATAAAATAGAGATCGTTTTCAACTTTGTATTTTTTGCTTGGAGATGAAAGGACTGTATTAGGTTATACTATTTACTGTTTCAATATATTTTAAATGTAATAGTTTTCAATTTTATTTTCCATCGGCGAATATCAACCCTGGCAAGCATCAGGTTTACCATGTGAAAATACAAATACAGGAAGTAAATTTTCCTTTTCGAACGCGCCCTCCTAATAGTCGAAGTGTCAAAGACAAAAATTTTAAGAAATTGTCAAAAGTTTTTAACTAAGTCAGTTTAAAGCATACAGGGTGCGTCACAAAAGTGTAGCGAAGTTGTATTTTTTTAAATGGAAGACTATTTATATTGTACGCTTATTCATTAGTCCCCTTCAACCTGATTTCAACGATATACGGTTTCATATGTTTATCTCTCGGTTTATCTCTAATACTTATAGAAAAAAAAGCGAAAATCTCTACCTAGGTCCTCAAGCGATTTTTTTTTAAATAATAATAATAGCTTAAGACATCTGGATTTTTTATAATATTTCACCTTATAAATTAATGGATAAAATTTAAACAATAAACTGTTTATAAAAAAAATTTCTAAAGCCTAAACCTTGAGAGGGATTTTTACGTTTTTTCCTAAAACTACTGAAAATAGACACATCAAACCTTATATCGTTGAAATCAGGTTAAAAGAAAGTAACAAATAGGCGCACAATATACAAGGTGTTCCAATTAAGAGAATATAACTTGGCACTGTTCCACTTTTTTGACGCACCCTGTATGCTTTAAACTGACTTGTTGAAAACTTTTGGCAATTTCTTATAACTTTTGTATTTGACACTTTTGTCCAAAATGTCAAATGAAAAAGTTTGGAGGAGGTTACATTTATAATAGATCACCCTGTACATCCAACCAATCCCAACTGAATATTTGTAGGGGGGTTAGCACTGGCAATTTGCGGCGACTGCGTGCGGATTATCAGTAAACATGGAGCAGTGGTCGAACGAGCAACGCGCGTTTATGGTCGAGTCGTGTTTCTGCATCCCCTAAAAACAATAGGCAAATCAGGAAACTACCATCGCAAATCTTGCGAACAAGCAACAGAAACTAGAGAACATTTAATCTGTGCACTTCTGCAAAAAGCTGAAATATCTTGAAAGGGTACGGCTAATACTCCAACAGGTGGGCATTTTACCACCCAGGAAGCTGGGCCTCCTTATAGGAGAAGCCTACAAATCTTAGAGACCAACTAGAAGTTGAGTTACGCACAAAATATCTAGAAAAGTAGCAGTGCTTGAGCGGCTGGAACAAGCTGTAACGATTCCTAAAGCAGCGTTTTCCTAGCAACGCACATTTTACGCGGCGTAGAACGTAATACGGCCGACGCAACGCAACATCCAATGCGCTGCGTAAACGTGTTTTCCTAGGTTTGTCAGTTGCGTCCCGATCGTCGCGATGCGTATATGAATAAAGAAATTAGCTTTGGCTTCATTCGAGGCCTTATTATTAGGTCTGCTTCTGCAGAAATCACAAACCAGTCAGAGCGAATTTCATTGGTTGAAAACAGTTAGAAACAGTCAGAAAACTAGTTTCAACCAATGAAATTCACTCTGACTGGTTTGTGATTTCTGCAGAAACAGCCCTATTATTACAAGATGAAAATTTGCCTGAAGAGATTGATATAATATATGTATATAGAAATTCTGCTAGTGAATTATTTCAAAAAAGAAGAAGCGAAGGAGCATTTAGAATACTTATCCATAAACATCTGCTCGACGACGAAGTAAAATTTGAAAAGCATATTTCAGAGTTACTAGGCAGCAGTTCTCATTTCTCCTCGATCTTGTGGGAAAAGATTTAAGTAAGGAATCATGTAATCGCGTGCGAATCCCATTTCGCCACCTGGAAAGCTTGGCCTAACATTGAGGTATATAAATATAATACAACACGAGCATTTTCTTTTCCAACGTGCAGCGTACAACTGAATAGACTACTCTCCGAGCAGTCGTTCAGTTGCGTCGACCGTATTACGCTAGCGCATGTCGTTTTTACGCAGTGTAGGAAAACGCTTCCATTTGATTTCCATTAGCAAAGACAATACCCTCAGCGTTTTACGCCGACCGAATTACGTTCTACGCCGCTAAAATGTGCGTTGCTAGGAAAACGCTGCTTAAGCCAATCTACAATACGCCGGATATTGTAACGGTGACAAAAACGTAGACGTACCGCGAAATAGAAATTTTTCGATTTCAAAAAGGCCTCGACCATAAACGCGCGTTGCTCGTTCGACCGCTGCTCCGTATATCCTGGTAATCCGCACGCAGTCGCCGCAAATTGCCAGCGCTAACCCCCTCCCACAAATATTAAGTTGGAAGTATAGGGCGCATTCGAAAATGGAGATTTACTCTCAGTCACCCTATACGTACATACATACGAATACATAAAAATACTCTACGAGATTTATCAAATACATTGCTTGACAAGTTTTCTTGAAAACTGAACAAATTGGTACCTACCTACATCATCTTTCACCCCACATTTGAAAGGCTATAACTAGCTACTTTTCCATAGGAAAAGGGCTCAATGAGTGAGATCACCTTTTGAAAGTCATTTTACCCTGATTATTACCTCTAACGAACGAAGTTTGTTCCATTGGGAAATTATTGTTGAACAACTTGTTTGTGTGTTGATATTTTGAAAATTAAACATTCGCTGATGTCGGATTAAAATAATGCAATTTGAGGAAAACGCATCTAAAGAATCAAATTTTAAAAAAAATGCAATAACTAGAAAAATACCACCTAAAATCAATATCCCGAACTTTTTCCATGTAAGTACTTTACGATAGGATTGTCTAAGCTCAGGCTTTAATTATAATTATTTTAATGTTTAATTTCAGTTATTAATTTTTGCTCCTGAAAGAAGACAAGTTTAAAAATAAATCCAGATTAATCCAGATCAGTGCCATATACTTTTCATTTATTAACCAAAGAATGATTCGACTGGAAGTTAATTATAGCATATCAACACAAGGATGTCAATTAGCCGCAGTACAATTTAGAAATTCCAATTATTCAATTTCAAAATAATTAACTGTTTGGCAAATCAATAACAAGACTGTGTTTATGATTGTATTGTGTAATTAAAAATTACCAGCTGCATAAGATATTTCGATTTATTTACAATACTGAATCTTTCTTTATTATTAAAAATATAAATTTTTCTCTAGTTTCTAGAACAAACTTTTGCAATAAATACATGGCACAGGTTAAATAATGAGGTCGTAAAAGTCTGGAATAATTAAATCATTTTAAAAATAGTGGCATCTATGAAAAATCCCTGGAACACGTCGATTTTGTTCAAAATTTTGTTACATACAGGGTGTAAACTCAACAGTTTTTCGAATATTTTTTTATTCCAGACTTTATGCCCTCAATGTAGACATACAGGTTACTTATGGTCTAGTTCGAATGTCTCCTAGTTTAACAGCTCCAAAAAATGATTTTCCTGGCTCAAACAAAGAATAGTGCCCATCCAAAATATCTCCCAAACTAATTTTGTCTCCTTCTGATATATGCTCAACTCCGGCAGTATAGCAAGTATTGCCTTTTTGACTTCTAGTACCAGAATGTAATGAAATAGTGCATTGGAGAATAGAATCGTCATTTTTGTATACTCTGTAGCCATTGATATCATGTTCGTCTAAGTAGTAGATCTAGAATACATCTTTTATAGCAAATAAAAACAAGTGGGTGTATTGAAAATACCTGCGCATAAACCAAATACAATCCAGATTCTCTGATAGTTAAATAGCCATCCTCTAAGATAAAGTGACTCATCATTCCTGTTTTTTCTACCCATCCATTTGCTTTCCAATCAACAAATATATTTTGCAAGTGTCTTAGGTGACCATTTCCTCTGAAATTATGATGAGTACCCAAAATGTATTTGGAAGTGTCGCCGCTCAAATGAATGGATGGAAGAGGTTTGATTCTGCCAGTTCGCGGATGTCTTTCATCCAAATTTTGCATTCTGTTTCGAGTTCTCCTGGTAACTACATCTTCATCTCTTACCAGTGGAAATTCTATTTCGGAGCTTCGGCTATTAAATTCCTTAAAACAAATAATTGAAGCGAATTTGAAAAAAAAAAATACTTGTACAATTTCACGTACATTAGAATCCAGCGATTTGGCAATATATTGCGAACCTGTTACGTCATTCCACCGCATCAATTTGGAGTTTGTTCTATAGTTGTTGAGAAACTGTTTAGGAGTGCCGGCACCTTTTTGATTGGATCTATTAGATTCAATGGAAGCAGGTAATTCTGACACAGATTGCTTTGTAACTGTAAAGGCATCATCGGTACTTTGATCGGCAGTTTTATCCGGATCATTATTCCGAATGCTTCTACGATTTCTAGTTTCTGTTTGGTGAAGCTCGTTGTTGTAAATGGTATCATATTTCTCTAGGTATTTCTGGAAAAAAATCATTATTGTTAACTGAAATTATAGACAGTTTCCTATTATTAGTAATACACAGAATGAATGTTAAAGCAAAAAATTGATTGCTGGGAAAATTGAATAGTCACCTTGTACTAATATCATTATTTCTGGTGAAGAGATTATATTTCCGTGTTCTTTATCGATTTTGAACCAATTTAACCCATTTTAGAGATCAGTCTGAATATCAATAAGAGCATCTCCATCCATAGAGCTCATCCAGGTCTGTGCACCGACCTCAACAAGCAATGAAGGTCAGAGAGAATTCTCAAAAATTCAAGAACAAAAAATGTTGCGAAAGGTGCGAAAGTTCTCGTTGTCTGTTCCGGAATCTTGGAGGTATTGAACATGCACTCCAACGGCAGTTTGGAACACTTTATTAGGCGAAAAACATCTCTATGACGCTAGTTCAATGAAACTTTTGTTGCAGACCTATACTGATGCATCGAGACGAGACGAGAGGAGAATCGTCTCTTCTCGAAGTTGCGAGAGAAAATAAGTCCCGTGTCGACTTTTAATTTTGGTATTTCCAGCATGATTTAGAGGTTAGGCTTATTACCTGGCACTTTTATGGACAGGCACATAACTTAAAATTTGACCATCCGGCTTAGACCGCAAATCTCAAAAATATATGGGTTTTCATGGTTAAGGGTAAGAATTAACATAATTGCAGGTCAACGGTATATAGTATATGCATGTATATTGAAACCAATTTCTCGTGTTCTCAAAATTCTAATTGAAAGTAGAATCTTCGCTACATCAACGTTGGGTGTTCAATTAGACACTCCCCTCAGGTCTACAAACACATAAGCAATTGATATAATTTCAATGAAATCGATGACCTATTCTTTTTTTCTTAAAATTTTCCGTTCGAACAATTTTCTTTCGAACAATTTTCTTTCGAACAATTTTCCGTTGACGCTATTCTTTATCTATGAATTAAATAAAAAATATGAAAGAAATTTCAGAAAAAATTACCAACTTTGTTTAAAACGGTTGTGAAAGTTGAGTTTTGGAACGGATTGTTTATTTGATATTTGGCGCCTCGATTCTACGTCATAGCTGCTGTATTTGAGCATTAATTAAATGCAACCTACGTCCGATATTCGACATAAACCTACTCATTAGTGCAAAAGAGAGCTGATATATCAGCGTCTGTCGGATATCATTACTAGGTGCACCCTCATCTTTAACCCCATTTTTTCAACTTATTCATCAAAAACGAAAACAAAACAGTATCTGAGTGCATCTGAGTTTATCCACATCTTATTCTAAAAGCACGTAAAATATAAGAATAAGGATACATTTTTTTTGCGCCGATTCTACAAATGGAAATCGCTATGCCATTGTACATTGTCTGCACTTTGCACTTTCGCCATATTTAAAAATAGATACTACAAAATTTGCATATTTTGAACGGTGGAAAGTTTTTTTTTTAAATTGAAATACCTACCTATGCGAAAACAAAATCTCTAATTTATATCTTTTTAAATTAAAAAAAAATCTTCCTTCTGAAAATTGAGGCATTCCGAAGAGAGGCAACGCGCAGACCGCGCTCTCGCCTCTCTTCGGAATGCCTTGACGCTATTGGACATAACATAACAGTTATGACGTAATTTCCGGGCGGTAAATTATAGCGTTTAAATTAAGTATAAATTTGTTTACTTTTTTTTGGTATCTTTTGTTTTCTGAAATCATAGAATCATCAACTAAAAAAATACCTATATCTAAAAAAATTATCCACTACCCTATTGTCAATGCATCCAAATATGAAAATGTTGATTTATCTATATATTTTTATCCATGTCGACAGAAAGAGTTTTTTGGAAAACCTTGTTGGGTAAAGTGTGCTTCCATATTTTTAAGTTTTACCGTATTTATATGATGTTTTTCAGTAGCCATTGAGTATCAAAAATGCAAATAATAGCAAAATACTTTAGATAAGCGTGAAATGAAATATATCGAAACAAATATCGCACGATTCTCATGCATTTAGGATGAGGCTTATCAAAATAAAATGTGATATAATAGGTTTTTGCTTACCCTTGCTATTATAATTATTTATCTCAGTCATTAGTTTTTGCATCCTGACAGTCTTCGTAGAATAATTTTATCATTTTGCTTTGTTAATTTGAATAATAGAACTTGTAATACGATAACATTCCAGCGGGCATATTTCATGATTCACTAAAAGACTAAAAGTCACATGCAAGTATAAAGATAGGTATTAAATTATGGAAAAAAAATGGTTCAAAGGTTCAATTTTGGATTCATATTAGTTTAATAAATTCGAGCTCAACCAAAAGTTGAAAATCATATTTTTGTAAAATGTATTTAGACAGGGTTGTTCAAAACTCAAAAGCCAGGCATATTAAGTATCTACTCTTATATTTGTACTTTCCAGCGAAAAAACATCTTCAGTTGATTTATTGATTTAGCAATCTTTCTGTGATCATGAAAACGCAAAAATAAAGTATAAACTATTGGCCAATAATAGAAAAACTTGACGGTCTGAAGGAAAAGGGAAGGTAGACACGATATGGAAATAAAAACTGCAATGGAATAGAGAGTGAAGACATATTAGACAACAGAACAGACTTCTCAACAATTCGACCCAGACTGTTAAAAAAAAACGGTTGGCTTGCGGGCTTAGAAGGTAATGGTAAAGGGTTGAAGAAATAACAGAGAAGTGACAAAAAATTTCAAGTTAATTTATTGGAGTATTTTGCCATTATGCTGAAAATGAAGAAGTAGAAAAATATGTGGATCCTTGAATAAGCCTGTACTATATAGGCTGAAAATCAAAAATGTACTATTCCAACAAATCAAATTTCAAACTGATAGAACTTCTAAATTTATCAAGAATAAAGTTTCCGGTACGATGGATTTGAAAAAAAAATCCAATTATGAGTCTCACGCAGTACGATTTCCAGAATTTGTTATTTATGTTATCATTATATGCATAGAAATTTGAACCCCTTGAAAATAATGAAAATGCAAGAGTTCACAATTAAATTTATTGATTACCATAAGCTATTCAAATTTTATGATAAAATCCATATAAAATTGATACATTTATTAATTAGAAACAATTAATTCCTTACTTGTAAATTAGTACTTTCGCATTTATCCAAGTTATCTCGAACATCTTGCATTTGATTTTCCAATAAAAACACCCTGTACATATTGAAAAACGACACCGAAGCCAAGAGTAGAAAGCACGCAATATGTGCTACAGAAAAGGCGTTTTTCTGCATCTCTTTCTGGCGTTCTATCATGGCGAGAACAGAACAATCGGGAGCACGATACTTAACTGTGGTCAATAGAAGCGATACTGCCAGTCTTATCTGCCAGGCCACTTATTTAAATGAACCAATTTTGGCCTGTTTAGTTAAGATTTTATTGTTTTATGAGCGTGTTAACTTGGATTTTACCGTTACTAAGAAGTACTTAGGTAGTAATCAAGAGCGGCACTTTATTATTGTCATCCCTTTATCTAAGCTTCAGATAATTAATAGGTACCAGCCGGTACCAGATAAAGTTCTAGTAGGTATGCCAAAATAAAATAAGATATTTTATGGACGGGTTAAAAACTTTTAAAATTTATTATGGTACCTATACTTCATTTCCTTTTAGTTAGTCGTAAAAAAAAATACAGAACCTCATAAATTTAAACACAAAAAAGGGTCGAAATGCAAAATTCATATTGAATTGCAATCAGATAATAACCCAACCTATTGTTACCTAGGTGTTATGGCTGCCTATGGTTTACGATAACTTTATGGTTTTCGACCGTTTTTTTGCCTTTCCCTATGCCCCTTATGAAAAGGAAACGGAGTATACCAATTGATAAATAATTGGATCTTGATGTAGTAATATCTAACAATAAAGTCCTAAAAAATATGGGCAATCTACCTAGTGGTTATTCTTCTTTCCGTAATTATGTGAATATACCTATCATACAACTTTTCCAGGAACCTATATAGGTATACCTACATAGGAACATAAAATTTTATACAGTTCAAACTTTCTGGTTGATGTTTTTGATAATCCAATTTCATGATATCTTTTTTCAAGGATAATTTTGAAGAATGGTATCGAACATTAAGAAAAACGAGGAAAGAACTATCGGAAATGATCGGTAAGGGCATCTCTGAGATCTACCTGATGAAATTCCTTTCCTTGCTGCATGATAATATGTATGCAACCATCCTAAGCAACGACAGACAAGGAGAGTCTTTTCAAATGACCACAGGCGGTAAACAGGGCTGTGTTATTGCACCAACTCTATTTTCTCCATTTATAGGATCCCTACTTCACATTGTCAAGGGTGTACAGGATTTCCACTCCTGCCATCAGGAGTGGAAATCCTGTACAGAGGGTGTTTCAAATTCGAGACACATCATTGGGATCTTGAAAACGGTGAGTGATCCAGGGTTGGTTAAATTAGGGCAAAGTTGCGTAATTTGATGCTTAACAAAATGCTGCTCTGATGTTTAGGATATTCAGGGGATATCCGGAAAAAACCAAAACTTTGCAAAATGGCTTCTATTTTTTCCTGACTTTATTTGAAGTGATATGTCAAAAAAAATATCACTTCATCGTAGTAACTTTTTCTCCCCTACAAGATGCGACCATCAAATTTAAAATCTGACGTTTCGTCTTTGGGCCACCATCATCAACTTTATTTTTTCAGATACGACCTTGACTTTCTTATTTCAGATTTCATTTACGTACCTATCGCATTTATTCGAAAAAATATTTTTTCAATTTTCAAATAATTTCCTACCAAAATTCTCTTCTCTGTCTCTCTCTAACACATTTGGTTCTTATGGGAAGTGCTAATAATATAAATTTTTCAAATGAGTGCAATACGTCATTGGTTTTGGGACATCAAAAGCTAATAAAATTTAAAATAAAAAATAAGGGTCCGTATTTAAAAAAATTAAGTTGATGATGGTGGTCCAAAGACGAAACGTCAGATTTGAAATTTGAAGCTAGCATCTTGCAGGGGAGAAAATATGTTGATGAAGTAAATTTTTTTTTTAAAATATCACTTTAGAAAAAGTCAAGTAAAAATAAAAACAATTTTGCAAAATTTCGGTTTTTTCCGGATATCTCCAGAAGTATTCGGAATATCCTAAATATCAAAGCGGCATTTTGTTAGGCCTCAAATTATGCAACTTTGCCCCAATTTAACCAGCCCTGTATCTCTTACCGTTTCCGAAGTTCTAATGATGTGGCTAGAGTTGAATCCTGGCACCCTGTACAGACTTGATGGCAGCTTATTCAACCTAAACAGATTACGAGCCAAGACGAAAGTATCGACGATATCGATAATTGAACTTCAATGCGGATGCTACCGTCATGATGGCCAATACAGAGGAAAACCTTGAGGCAATTATCAATGTATTCAACCAGGCATACAAGAGGATCAACCTAGAGGTCAACTTTACGGAAGTTCTGCACCAACCCGCACTGGATACTAATTCCCAAACATATACAGGGTGAGTTATTAAGCGCGCAGTGGTCCATATCTCCTACACTAACGGAGATTAAAGAAAAAACTAAATACAAAACTTGTAGATAAACATGAGTACTACATTCCTAAATTATTTTCCAGTATACAGGGTGGCCAAATAACTAGTAGTGACACAAAGTTAGGTTATAACAAATGACTCTCCTTGTATATTATGACATTTCTAGATTCTGCGGAAAATTTTAGACATATTTCATGTACAATGTCATATACCTATCTTCAACTGTTTCGGAAATATTAACAGTTGAAAACTGACTTTTTTGCATCTTTGACAGACTGTAAAACCTGAACGGTTAATTTTACAAGAAAACGGAGTTTACATTCCTGTCTTAGTTTTTCATAAACTATCATTTGACACTAATCTTGAATTTAATCCATGATTAAAAATTCCGCCTAAATTATTAATCTTCGGTTAAACTTAAAGTTGGTGTCAAATGATAGCTTATGAAAATCTAATAATGTAAAATCCGTTTTCCTCTAAAATTAACCGTTTAGGTTTTACAGTCTGTCAAAGATGCAAAAAAAGTCATTTTCCAACTGTCAATATTTCCGAAACAGTTGAAGAAAGGTATATGATATTGTACATAAAATATGTCTAGAATTTTCCGCAGAATCCAGAAAAGTCATAATATACAGGGGGAGTCATTTAAAAAAACCTAACTTTGCGTCACTACTAGTTATTGGGCCAACCTGTATACTAGAAAATAATATAGGAATGTAGTACTCATATTTAACTACAAGTTTTGTATTTATTTTTTTCTTCGATCTCCGTTGGTATAGAAGATATGGACGACCGCGCGCTTAGTAACTCACCCTATATATATAAATGCCCATACTTGCAAAACGTAGAACCCTACCCATACCGTGGGAGCCATCTGTCAACAAATGCAACCATTGACGCTGAAATCCAACATCGCTTGAGGTGTGCTAGTGCGGCGTTCGGCGACTTCTAGCGGGAGGCTTCAACAATTACGGCATCAGCGCTGAGACCATACTTCGCGTCTACAATACAATTGTAATGCCAAGACTTACATATGGCTGCGAAACGTACACCTACAGAAGACACATAAAAAGCCTGGAAAAATTCCATCAGCAATGACTAAGAAGTATCCTACCAGGTAAATGGCAAGACTGACGAACGAACGTTAGTGTTTCGGAGGAGGCGAAAGCAACACACACAGTCAACTAAAAGAGGAAAAATGAAATCGGAGATGTTCTAAAGGTAAATATGGCAAAGTGCCACATCGATACCGTCAACTGGGAGATAATGGTGAATGATAGACCGTCATAGCGTCGAGTAGTCCACGACGGACCACAAACTTTTGAAGAACAGCGACGCAGACACGAAATTCGAGAAGAGGGACCGCGGGAAGGAGCGAGAGAACAGAGAAAGAAACAATGCTGTCAGAGACTGAGTGTGTCAAGACTGTGGAAGAGTGTGCGAAGAAAATGCAGAAAATTAATTAGAATAGATAATCATACTCGGATCGAGTGATCGCCTGTGATGATGATCAACCCAAGTTTCATTCAAGTTACCGATTCTCTTCACACAACAAAAATAGATCTGTTCTAGTGGTTGGCCCCATTATCTATTCTAAATTGAAGATTTCAATTATTCCTCGTATTAGGTAGAAATCATCCAACACATGAGCATCTTCTTCGACGAACGAAATTTTTGGATCAAAATTAAATCGCTTTGGTTATTTATTTGTGTCGTATTGAAGTTGGCTGGTAGACTTTCAAGAAGACCCATTGAGTACATGGTTGAAACCTGGACAGCACCGCTTCAACTGAACTTTGGACGTTATCTTTAAATAAAAATTTCCTATAAGGATCCGTGCCATACAAGTTATGATTATTTATCGCAATCATCCATACTCGCGAATGTCATACACCTCTCCAGAGAAAGTTAGAACAGCATGATTTTTCCAAAACAGAGCTATAATTATTGACTGAGACAGTGGGACAGATAACAATAACATAATTTTTCCTATGAAATAATTATAGACAAGAAAATACTCAAAAAAAAGTGACATCACAAAAAGCTATCAATCTTATAGGTCAGAAAATATCTTCATGCTGCGCAATCGCAATATATCTTGCAATCCACCAAGTTTCGGCCGTTTGGCCTTTCCTTCTCCCATTCTTGTTTACCCCCAATTTCAGTCCCCAGATTTTGCAGGATGCTGCCCATTTTATCGCTTTTAATGATGTGAGGCTCCCAAAAATTTCCTATAAACTTGCCATATTTGGCCCGGGCGGCTTGCAGAAGGGTGAGTTATTGATTTTGTTTCAACCCAGTGGGGCAAGGGAGTATGTTTTAACCAGTAGGTGAGTTTTTATACAAATTCTGTTGTTTAAATCAATACTTTATTTTTGCCAATGCTCACGCGGCACGAAAAATAATATTTTATTGATGTATTGCATCCAATTGACATTATTGGTAGTAATTTATAGCGGGAATTATTCATTTATCATCAATAAAAAAATTATTTATTGCACCTTAACAGTAGTTAAATAACAATAATATCAAAGTATAAATGTGACCAGATTGATTCATTAAAAAAAGTTTTCTGGTTGTTGTAGTGACCTTTGACTGTTGAATCGAATGGTTAGGTACATCGTGATTTTTTTGGGTTGGAACTTAATTCAGAAGGATGGAGCACGGAAAGAAGGAATACAGGTGAGAGCATTAATATTATTTGCTTATATCTGATAGGAATTTTTTGGTAAAAACTCAGCTTGTATTATTATAAGTAGGTATAAACTTTTGGCAATACCTATGTTCTATCTATGTAATAAGTTTTTGGCAATATGTACGTGCTCCTATTCCGTTAGCTGAGTTGAAAAATCAATTATGTTCTAATTCCAGGCTTGTTTTACCAGTACCCATGTTCCACAGTGACCACAACATTTGGGCAGTACTTAAAAATTGTATTGGTAAAGAATTGAGCAAGATAACAATGCCTGTCGTTTTCAATGAACCCTTGAGCTTCTTGCAGAGGATGGCGGAGTATATGGAGTACGCGCATTTGCTCAGAATTGCCGCTCAACAGGAGGATCCCACCACGAGACTCCAATACGTCATTGGTAAGAATTTTATTAATTTTTCTCAACTTATAGACACGTGTACCTACCTATTGTAGTGGTACCTGAACACCACTCCATAAAATCAAGATTTCATCTTTTCCACAAAATTAAATAGAATTTTGCTTTAATATTGCAAGCTAATAAGACGATTTTTCCTATGTTAACTTTGTTAGAATACTTATGATGCTGAAACTTGGCATACTATGTAGCTTAATATCATGAACAAAGAAACAAAATTACCTACAATGTCCAGCGCCACGATAAATATCTTGTATAGTGTATAGGAGCAGCTCAAGCCCTGCTACCCTTGTAGATATTTTGTGCGTGACTGATGTGCTTCTAGTTGGTGTCGAAGATTTGTAGGCTTCTCCCAAAGGAGGCCAGCTTCCTGGATGGTAGAAAGTCCACCTCTTGGGGCCTTAGCCTTATCCCTTCAAGGCATTTCAGCCTTTTACAGAAGTGAGCAGGGCATCCATAGAATGGTTGGTTGTTGTCTCATTTGCCTAGTGTTTTTAGTTGATATTTCACCAGGCAATGCCCAGTAAGCAGACCAACGACTGTTTTAATGCCTCTTCTGTTCATGTCAAGAAGTTGTTCAGATCTCTTTGCTGAGATGGATATGGAATGGATCTCCAATGAGCTAGTATTTGGTCCTTTTCCTTTCTGTTTATTTCTTCGGAGACGTGGCTTCTCATTAGTCCATAAAAAGGCTCTGGGTCTTGAAAAGGTGTTAAAGCACCTTGCTTTGCGAAACGGTGCGCCTCCTAGTTACCCTCTATGTCCTGGTATCCTGGCACCCACATCAGGGTTACTTTGTTCTTCCCAGCCTGTTGCTTAGAAATATTTTCACCCTCCCAAACTAGCTGAGAATTGCACTTGATGGCTCCTTGAGCCTTCAGAGCCGCTTGACTGCCGGACAGTATGTAAATGTGCTCTCTTAAAGGGACCCTTTTGAGGCAGTCTTGGGCACAGATGTTTATGGCCAAGAGCAAGAGCAACCTCAGCTTGAAATATTGTGGGCGTTCTACCCATTGCTAAGGAGAGCTTAAAGTTTTGTCCATTTATTCCCAGACCAACTCCTTCCGTTAGCTTTGAACCATCCGAGTACCACAATGCCGTGTTGTCCGCTTGCGGTAGCTTTGCGTTCTTCCATGGTTGGCGTTCTTTTACAACCACTTCATATAAAATGTCAAAGTCCATTGATGTTATCATATGATCTGTTGGTCCACTCAAGGTTTACCGATAGATTGGAGAATGCCTAAGTGACCATTCGGATTTAAGCCTGGTTAAATCTATTTGTCTGGAATAGCCTATAGGCATCTATTATTGCCTCTTTTTTCACATATAGGTGAATAGGAGGCATGTTCAGCAGTGCCTCTAAGGCTGCGGTGGAGCAGGCTGACATAGCCCCTGTTATTCGTAGACAGATTAGCCTTTGTACTTCCCGTAGAATTTTCGCCGTAGCTCGTTATATTATTTTGTTCAGATGGTTATTCCAAGTAAGTTTGCGGTCCAGGGTGACCCCTAAATACTTAACTTCATCTGAGAGAGATAATTGAGGGCCCTTTAGAGAGGGAGCTCGCAGATCCAGCTTCCTTTTTCTGGTAAACGGGACTATATTTTTTTTGCTGGCATTTATGGAAAGTCCTTCTTCCTCGCTCCAGTTTTTGATTATATTCAGAAAAATATCTTAAAATTATAATGATTTCTGTAAAATATTGTCGAATATTTAAATTGGTCACGTTTATCTGACATTACTTCTATAATGATTATTGGCAAATAATATATCCAGTAGAATTGATGTTACTCAGTCAGTAGTAGGAATCCATAAGCAGAGGTAGGTATCTGAAAGCCGATCCTGTTACCAAGACCAGCTAGAGGTAAATTCAAAGTTTTGAAGTCTCTGCTGTCACCCCAGTTGATATAAGCATACACAGCATCTAAAAAATTTAAGTGCACCCTATTTTCTAGGTTTCGCTGTTAGCGCACTCGCATCAAACTGGGAACGGCTCGGAAAACCATTTAATCCTTTACTTGGTGAAACGTACGAACTAGAAAGGGAAGAATTCAGAATCGTTTGCGAACAAGTGAGTCATCATCCTCCAGTATCAGCTTTCCATGCAGAAAGCGATGACTGGACGTTCCACGGTTCTATTCACCCCAAGCTTAAATTTTGGGGAAAAAGTGTGGAAATACAGCCTAAAGGAACTGTGACTGTAGAATTTCCAAAGTAAGTTATCTACCAAATTGAAATAGTTAAAAACTTTCTAGAGTAACCGTATTTAGATTAAAAGAAGCCTATACGTGGACTAACGTAAACTGTTGCGTTCACAATATTATTATGGGCAAAATGTGGATGGAGCAATGTGGAACAATGGAAATTGTTAGCCATTTGTCTGGATATAGAGCCAACCTCACTTTTAAACAAGCAGGAGAAAGCTCAAAAAATCTTCATCGGGTTGAAGGATATATTGCGAATAAATCGTACGGAGGTTTTATATGAAGTTTATAAGTTACATATAATAAATTATTCTAGGAAGCAAAAACTCTTCTATATATACGGAAAGTGGACGGAGTTTATAAAGTGTTCCAACTATGCAGCTTACGAGGAATACATGAAAGATAGTTCACACAAAATTAAAGACCAAAGAAGTAAAAGTCCGAACGATTCGCCATCTCACACGTCGAAAAAAATGCTCCAGAAGTTTAACAGTTTGAAGGTTTCTACTTTTAGATCGCAAAACTCAACTCAAGAGGTACGATGAATCAATATTTTTAAATTTAGCTTTAAAACATTTTCTCTTTAAGACTGAAGAAAGTGACGAGCCTGATGAATGTCCCAAAAGTGATACAGGATTTTTTATGGATATTCCAAATTCAACTACTATATGGAAAGTTAATCCAAGACCTCCACAAAGTGCTGATGTAAGTATTGGTAAATTTACGGGCTCTTTCACTAATTTTTGAAATCGGTATAATTGGATAAGGCAACTAAAAATAGTAAAATTCATAGTTCTTTTTGAGAAAATTGATAAAAATAAAAAAATCTCTAAATAAAAACACGGGATTCATCCGCACGCTGTCACAACTTGCATTTTGACAGTGTTTCCACTAATTGTCAGAATTGAAAATAAATGTAATATATTTAATTCTAAAATGTAAACAAAATACCAAGAAAAATAGTTGAATTAATTACTTAGGAATTCAAGAGGTCATAACATTTTTTTTTAAAATTATTATCACACACAATTTAAATTTATTTTTTGTAATCAGTAATTTTTTTTTCTCACGACGCAATACATTTAGTCATAACTGGCAACAGCGCAATCAATGCTTCAAGCCAGCGGCCACGGGAACAGCTGTTCGTGCTTTGTCGATGGAATCTTCTTAAATTCGATTGGTAGAAGATGCTCATATCCCTTATACGTTTGGCGCGTTTTAAGGATTTTAAATTTCTCCACTTTTGAAGTGCCTGTAGAAAACTCATTTAAACTCGTAGATCATTTTTTTTGGCAAATATACCTGAAATAGTCCTTCATTTAAGACTTTATGCTCAAATTACGTAAAAACGTATTTCAATTTTAGTGGAAGAGTCCTATTTCCTGGAATTTTCTTTTTGAAGGTTTTATTCTAGTTCAGGGAAAAGTATGTTCCCATAAGATTATTCTAGACTATAAACAAAAAATAAATAAAAAATAGACATATAAATAATCATAATGTAGGTATTTATTTTCCCATAAACCTGCGCGATCATATTAAATTTAATTTAATTCATTCTTAATACATTATACATATAATATTTCTGCCTTTTTTAGTACTACCAATTCACAGAATTCGCTATGTCACTCAATGAGTTGGAACATGACATGAAAAATGTTTTATGTCCAACTGATTCAAGACTAAGGCCAGATATTCGTAAATTGGAACAAGGTGATATCGACGGGGCAGCAATTGAGAAAACGAGACTAGAAGAAAAACAGAGAGACGCTAACAAGCATAGGAAATGCAAAAATGCCACTCAGTGGACCTCAAGGTAAAGAAATAAGACGTTTTAAATTTTAAAAAAACAATATTACATGGCAGAGACTTTCTCTGTTTCCTTTCTCCATCTGAAAGGGAAACAAAACCAATTTCTATGTGATGAGACCTTTCAATAGCTCAAGCCCTATTTTCCAGGTGGTTTAAACAAGAAATAAATCCATACACGCAACAAGAAGATTGGATTTCTAATGGGAATTATTGGAAACGACAATATTTAGAAGACCTCGACATTTTTTAAATATTGTGGGAAACATCCAAAAGTATATTATTCATTAAAGTAGAGAGTAAGTCCAGAAAAAATTATATAAATTCCTGGCCAGGAAGTATTGTAGAGAAAAACTCATCGATCGCACTTGCCTAGAACATTTCTTCTAAAAATTATATTTATAAAAATCCATATTTTCTACAGAGTAAACATTTCTTGTGATACCATATAAACCTAAGATCTATTTTGTCTCCATTATGAAATAGTTAATTTGCTTTCTGGATTAAAGATACTATTTATTGTTGTGGTCTTAAAATAAAAAGGAATCTAAAAAATCTACTAACGGTCAATTACGTTGTTGGTAAACTGATGTTATTGTAGAAAAATAATAATATAGATAAGTTCTATACATGTTTCGCGGGACATGCGTCCATGTGCCAAACTTGACACAAGAATTTGGTAAAGTTAACAGTTTCTTAGAGCTTCCGTATTTTATAGTGAATTAGAATTTTTCATAATTTGATCGAAGCAGTTCTGTTGCAATTTTTACTTTCGGAAAGAGAATTAGGAAAATTATTATGACTTCAAATTGGACATGGTATTTCCAAGGGCAAGGATATTAGGAAGGAGAAAGTGGTTACAATTTCCTGTAAAAACCTATGACAGGTAACCATTATATACATTCCAATGTGTTGCTTTTTGACACACCATGTTCTCACTGAACTAGTTATGGGTCCGTTGTGACAGTTAACTAAAATTTCGAATTTGATGGTTTGAAAAAGATAACATGTCAAAAACGAGGTCAAGATTAAAAAAACATTTTTTATACTATACATTGAATTTCTATGTTGGTTTAAGGATATTGAATGCGTCTTCGAAGCATTATTCAATTAATAATCAAACATAAGTACCATCAAGTTGACTACTTTTGCGGTTACAGCGCCGTAGTCGCTGTGTGTATGAATCGAATTCTTTTTTACGGTAAATTTATATCAGGCAAAATATAGGGTGACGCAGAGTGAATTTCTTTTTTCGAACGCGCTCTGTACATCGAATTTCATATTTGTGTTGTGGTTAGCGCTGGCAATTTGTGGCGACTGCGTGCGGATTTTCAGTAAACATGGAGCAGTGGTCGAACGAGCAATGCGCGTTTATGGTCAATGCGTTTTTTTAAATCGAACGATTCCTATGTCGCGGTACGTGATGCTCCGTCAAAAAAATTATTGAAATCGTGGGTTCAAAGATCCAGACAATGCGGTACAGTGGCAAATCAGAAGCGTCCCGGCTATGTACAATCTCAATCTCAATATTCTCTGGCGTTCTGTTGGACTTCTGTTGGCCGGGACGCTTCTAATTCGCCACTGTACGACTTTGTCTGAACCTTTGAACCCACGATTTTAATAAGTTTTTTGACGGAGCATCACGTATAGGTACGCCGAATATTGTAACGGTTACGAAAACGTCGCCATGCCCCGATATCGGAATCGTTCGATATAAAAAAAAACGCTACTGATAATCCGCAAGCAGTCGCCGCAAACTGCCCCCCACAAATATTAAGCTGGACGTACAGGGCGCGTTCGAAAAGGAAAATTTACTCTGAGTCAACCTGTATTACCTTCAAGACAAATACAGTACCCTTAAACGCAATATTATTCTGTTTTATAGAGCAATATTGAACAATGAATAGACGTACATAGTGCTAGACGTATTTGTAATATCAACTTCACTATAGTACATATATATCAGGAAAAGGAATAATGTGTCCTTTTAAACGAAACAAATATCGATACAAAAAAAAATTGGATAGTTTGGGTTTTTCGAGATTTTGTAGGGACTAGGACTAGAGTATAAGCAAATTGATGTTTCAAATTGTGAAAGGCTTTCGCCTCTATATGGCCCCAAAGCTAACCAACGAATTTTTTGTGGTATTGGGCCAAAACTCTTGGCCTTAATCTTACGCCAACGCGAGCGGGTGTTTCAGAAGTTGTACAATCGACTGCCGCTAGGTGTATTGCCTCATACTCTCCTATATTTCCGCATGCAAATATAGGTTGACATTTGTTGGTGGATGTTATGAGGAATATCCTTGAAGCTTTTTGAAGCAAGAAGACTTATTTGAAAGAAGAATAAAGTTAATATGGATTCTTTTGTGCCTGTCCTGATCGAATTTTTCTCTAGGACGTCATAAATCGGGTGATTTTTCATATCTTCTGGTTCTTGTATTGACGAGAGAGAGAGGCATTCCTTCACGTTTTCTTAGGTATTAGGTATTCCTGAGCCGTCGAAAACCACCACCTTACCTGCATGTTCACAAGTCAGTGGGGACAACTTTTGAAGATCTTACCACTCGTGTTGACGTAAACGTCAAGGCCAACTGTCAATCTACAGTGGCATAAGAACCCTGAAACTTTTCAGTTACAATTTTTTATTTTGTCTATCTTTTAAAGTCGAATACTACTATACCATTCTTTCATTACTTATAAAAAATAATTGAAATATAAGGGGTCTATGTCTAGAAATCTAGAAATAATTGTGCTTATAAACATTAAGAAATATACCAAATAGGTACATAATTAGGAGGATAAACAAATTCCATTAGAGCGAGAATAACCTGAATGAGACAATTATTTTCTGAAGCATTTCAAAAATGTTTATAGCTTGAAACTTTATAAATCTGTTATTAGAACGGATACAAAAAAAAATGTGTATATGAACTAGAAGTCAATGTTTGGGATCACTAGAAAAAAAATGTGCTGGTTGTCGAAAAAAAAAACTGTTTTGTTGGGAAATAAAAAGTTTATTTAAGGAAATTTTTTTCTATCATTTTATCCTTTTATGCTTATTTATTATTCCATTTCTAATGACGAGTGTGTCGCAGAAAGGTGAACGAAGAATGGCAGAGGAATAATAAAGTCTGTCAGACTGTCGGAAGTGTGCGTGCTGTCACATGTCCTTTATGGAGTCAATCCATCGTGAAGTTAAGAGCTGAGCACCAACCAATGGAACTATATCCAATGGGTAAGGCGTTTATCGAAAATACGGAAATTACCTTTTTTTCCTGTTGCCCAATAATTATGTCACTTATTTGACATAAATTTCAACAAAAACGTTCCCCATTCGTCTATAAAAATGTAGTTTTGCGAACATGGCTAATAAGCGTAATCGAAGAAAAATAATGTTACCAGGGGGCCGATTCTCGGGCCAGGGAGTAGAGCTTCCCGAGAGAACAAATTTTTCGTCTTTATCATTCTCGTTCACTTTTTGATTACGTTGACAAGGACAAAACATTCGGGGAGCTTTACTCCCTGAGACGAGACTCGGGCTCCTGAAGGAAGAACAAAATACATAGGTACCTACTATCTACTTAGTTGTCGTGTTGAATCATTCATTTAATCCCATAATTTATCATAAGCTATCATACTGTTGAACATCTCAGGTTAATAAAAAAAACTGGGTCTTACTAAATAAATAGAAAAGACCTTCTGATGAATCAGGTATCACTTGAACTGTCTTTTGCTCTTATTGTCGACCTCATATCTACGAGGCCACTTGGAAAAAAATTCCTTTTATTATACATTCAGGCAGTAGATTTCTGTTGATCAGTTTTTCTTGACGCATTTTGTACAGGATGGCCCAATCTGGAGACTTTAGCTTTGATTCTCATTTCGGCCTTTCAATAAATAATACCTATACAAGTCTGGCAAATCAGCTTTTTACGGGCAAATTTCAATGCAATAGAATGAAATATCTAGAAAAAGTCTAAGGGTGAAACTTCCAGCATGCAGCGCTGGGAATGCTGGAGGTGGAGAGGTTGGTTTCAGAAGCAATCAAGGGAACTGGTAAGGGGGCATTGAATGTTACCGCTGCAGTAGAAAGCGACATTTAAAACGTGACTTTAGAGTGCGGCTAGGATCTCGCTCTCCTTGACTCGCAGCCTTTAAAAGACAACCAGGAAAACTATAATTTGCCAACATGGAGAGGCGTGTGTTAGCTAGTGCAAGTGAAGCCCCTAGAATCATAACCATCAAAATGCTAGGCAAGACTGCGGACAGTTTGACTATTGAAGGAAATAATAATGGCAGAAATATCATTATGAGAGTGGACACAGGGGCAGCCGTATCCCTACTAAATTCGAACATTGCTAAAAAGTACAATGCAAAGCCACTTTCAAGCAAGTTATTCTTCGCACAGTGACTAGAGAGATCGCAAATGAGCATGGAGAAACAGAAATTGACCTGAGATTAGGAAATATCAAGATTTGTCACAAAGGGCTGATTGCTGATATAGGGGATGAGTTTATTTCGGGTACTACTCAAGATTTTTTGTCTCAAAAATACCAATACACCTGGCGGCCATATTAGATGTATAGCCAGCAGGCCATCAGAGGCCGCGCACAAGTTGCTTGCGATAGTTTCCTAAAACCGTAAGACCTAAGCTTAAGACCATACCTAAGACTAGGTATACCAAATTTGAAAGACTTGGCACAAAGTGCACGATTCTTATGAATTCCCCCTATGCTAGTATTTCATTTCAAGACCATGTGCTCACCGGTGGGAACGTTTTACCTATATTAAGCATTGACAAATATATATTAAGTAAGGTCCCAAAATGTAAACCTATTTGACTTGGACATGGTAGTTTGGTCTGCCAATGTTTCAAAAAAAGAGGAAAAAACAGCAGAACAAGATTTGGTTTATTAAAAATAAATAGGACAAAGTCATACCAGTTGCAATATATCTTCAAAAATAAATTTGATCAAATTCTTTCTATGAAGACCGTATAGAGGGCGATTTTGTTATCTGGATTTCTCTTGCATTTGCCTAGCACTGAAAATCATGTCAGCGATACCTCGGTTGGGTCTAAAGCAACACTCTCTGTGAGGTTCTGTTCGGCAGTTGGGTTAAGACGATTTGGAAATATCCTGGCAAGTATCTTTCCGGCAACAGAAAATAAAGATATTCCTCTGTTGTTTCCATATTGCGCCTTGTGTCCCTTTTTAAAAATAAAAATTATGGAGGCATCTCTAAGTTTGGCAGGTATAGTCTCACAGTCTCAGTAATCCATATTTTACTCCTTAGGATGTGCGTTTGGGCTCTTAGTGTGGGGCCGCCTTGTTTAAAAAATTCGGCAAGAATGCCGCCAATCGAATGTGGAACTAATTATCTCGTTCATCATGAAATTCCACACAAAAAAAAAAACCGAATAGCGCCACGTCCATAAATTTCATGAAGAGATCACTTATATAGATATTTTTCATTTTTCTATGGAGGATTGCCACTGAACGAAACTTGAGCCAAGCCAAATCAAAATCAATACACAGCGCTGCAACTCCAAAATTAAAATACTGATGGGAGCCCCAAATCCGGCGTTATTTCTGAATCAATACGAGCACGGAAAAAAAACAAGAAATGGAACTTTCATGATCTAGTTAAGTTTGTAATGGCAATATTATTTAATCTGCTGGGATGTCTTTAAACCATATTTTTTATCGAGTGGCATCAGGTATACATTCAAGTAAATATTTATCTATTATTCAAATTCATCTGCTATGCCATTAACAAATGACAATTTGCAATCAAAAATTAAAGCTTCCTTGTTCCGAAGAAGTGCTTGATTATAAAAGCCATAGTTTCCTGGAGTTGATAAGATTTATGGTTGAAATTCGCTTATCAAAGAGTTTCTTTGCATTAAAAAAAAACAACAAATCACATATAGATAGTGGCATATATTTGTAGTAAATACAAAACACATATATCAATGATAGCCAAAGAAATAATGTAACAAAAAAAGCAAACAATAACATTTAAAATGCACAGCTCCATAGAGTCGGTAAAATACGATATTATTTGTACTATTTTCAAATTATTACATAGAGAACAACTTTTTAAAAAAACTAAAAAATTAGACAAATGAAGCTGAAACTGTTCGTAACAAACAAAATGATAATAGATATCCACAAACTAACTAATAGACAACAAAATTATAAAACTAAAAAACAAATAATAATAATATTGCACGTAATAACCTAATTGGGATAAATATCTGATATTATATTCGTATATTTTATAAAAACTATGGTATCCTTTGCATCGCCGAATATTCAACTACGTTTTCAGTATGCTACAATATTAAAATATATTTTAAACATTCGGTAATACTACCATTTTACAGAATTCCTATATCCAAAATTTCTTTTTCGGAAGGTCACTTTTTGATCGATTATTTTGTTTGTCTGAAAAGCAAAGATATTTTTTTTCTGTAGAATTTTTATTTGGCTCTATACTCTGCCCATTGTCAAAATGTCATTTTTATTATTGTGTTATTTCTAGTGTTTTTTTTTGTTAAAAATATCAGGAAATATAATGAAGCCTACCACTTTCGTCAATATGTTAAATTTTGTTTCGATGTAAGTAAATTTGGAATGAAATATATCAGGGAAAATTCTAAGGGGCGAGACCTGTTTAAAATATTATCTGTACCTACCTAATATACATTTGTATATTACAGAGTCAGTTTATCAATTTTTTGAAAGTAAGGATGGACTGGTAATAATACGACTCTCTATTTTTTCACTACCTGTTCCCGAAAGCCTTTGAAATTAGGTATTCATTATTTACCCGACGTTGACTAAGGATGATGACAGAAGAGGATTATTTCATCTCTATAAAAAAATAAATGGAACCGGAAATGTGAAGGTGCTGAAGAAAAAAATATATATAATAAAAACACATTGTCTGTTTTGATAAAAGAAAAAACCTTAAGAATAGGGATTTCAAACTTAGAGGAACCGCATAGCTCAAAATTCTCTCTAAAAAACAGCCACAAATATCGAGATATTGGTTGCCATAAAAATCAAAAAAATTTGTAACTTTTTTTTTATTCACCCTGTATACATTTTCGCGGCTAAATTTGAAGCCAGAGGGTTGCAAATCTATTTTTCAGTAATTGTTTTTGTTTAAAAAAATTATTCCATTAAGTATAAGATGTTAATTTAAATTAAGCACAAAATCAAATAAAATAGAGGACAATAATTATTAATTTAATTGTACTACGACATACTGTACAGACATAATTATTTTCAAATTAATTAGATTGAAAAGATGGTATAATAATAGGCATGTGGTTATTAACAACATTATTGGGAATAAAAGAATGGTCAAAAAATGACATCCCCAGTTTATGGGCGTTTGACATATTAGCATCGGTAACAGCAACACTATGAGAACTGTTAAAAAAATTTGTAAACGAATTTAAATCTGTAGCTGAAACATTTTCTAAAGAAATATGCGTAGCCTCTTTTATTTGCGGTAGTGCAACCGTTAAGTTACTTATGACATTGATTTTGTTGCTATGAGGTGGAGGAGGAGGGGGTAGCGGTTGAGGTTGTTCTGTATGAACTCTGCTGGAATGTAAAATGGTTTGGTACCGATGCCTAAAAGTCATATTACAGTGTTCACATTGAAACCTTTTTCTAAAGTGTCTCCAATAATGATGCACCACTAAAGATGCTTTAGTATGGTAGCGACTAATACCAGAATTCCTGCATATTTTACAAGTTAAGCCTCTCCGGGTAACTAACTGGGCCATATATTTATCTACAAGTTTGCTTATACCAGATGGAGCTTCTGAATTGAGATACCCTTTCCATTTTCTAAGCTTGCCATTTAAATGTCTGAGGACTTCAACCTCATCTGAATCCCAATAAGGTACCACTACCTTCTTTGGCTTACTCTGTTTTCTGCTCCTTTTGAAATTACCTAATGGTGTGGGCAATACAACAGGTTTGGTGCTTAAATTTGTATGAATTGCCATGTGAGTTATAATACTACTTTGATTCTCAAAAGAAGCATCACAAAGCTTACAGGAATATTTCCTATAGGGATCAACATTTTCTTTAGTATCTTCGCATTTGGCGGGAGATGTGGTGACGTGTCGGTGCGTAAATTGATGCGTTTCCAATGATAAATCGTCTTCAAATTCGCATCCGCACGTCTGGCAGACGAACAAGGGAAGTTCCGTTTCTTCTCCTCCTGCTTCTTCTTCTGCGTCTAGGTGACTGGATTCCACACCTCCCGCCTCAAGAAAATCCGATTGGATTCTATGTGTCAGATGTACTCTACTTGACATATCTTCAGCGACCATAGGCCTAGGTTGAGCTTCACTTTCTGGATCAGATCCATCGCTAGCTTCCATGTAACTGAACAAACGGGCAGCACCGTGTTGCTTAGGTATTTGGCTTTTCCAAGATTTCACTTCGTTCTGGAGGAAACGATTATGCTGAAGAATTTGCGCTGCGGCGGCTGTCAAATCGGTGGTTTTAAGAATAGTTTGGGCTTGACTGAAAAAGACAGAAAAAATTATAATATTGGGTCATTCAAATTTTGGAAGCGGTGAATTTCTTGCCTGTAGGTTTCTACTTTTAGGTTTGTTTGGATTTGTAGTTCTAGAACCGAATTTAATTTGAACTTTCAATTTTGTGACCTCTGGTGAATCAGAAAGAAAACTGATGACTTTTTACTAGTTTTCACATGTTTGGTAATGTTTCGTATGAACTCAATTAAATAGGAACCACACTAAGTTATCATAACTTCTGTTTGTTTAATATTATGTTTGTAAAATATCAGGAATCATTTTTCAATCATGATGTGAAAAATTCAAATAGGAATTTGTGATTTTTTTTTTCTTGAGAGTTTCGAAAACAAAATAAGTTAAAATGCCGCGAACGTAAAAATCCAACAATTTGTATCAAATCCTTCATAGTTGTAGCATTTGTAAGTAGCTACCTTCTTGAATCGCATTTCAATAAATGAGAAAGCTTTAAATACAAAGCTTTTCTTTTCGCCAGAACGAAATGTTTCCGGATATTTTTAATTCTAAACGAACGAAATACATATTGGACGAGTAATTTAATGGAAAAGTATATTTTTGGAAACTAATTTAATTTAATCATGTAGTTTTGCCTAATGCACGTTAAGGTTCAATTTACTCTCTAGCTTTTATTCATCTATCGAATTACCTACAACCCTGTATATTGTATTTTAATCTAGTTCACGCTTATTTAGGAGGCCTATATTCAAATTCAACTCTTCTCGGAAGATGGAGACAACTTGAACTGAAATTAAAGATGATCCCAGGGTCGGCGCAAGCGACTTTGGCGCCCTAGGCAAATGTACTGTCTGCCGCCCCCATCAAGTAAAAATACGAATATGCATGGCAATTCCACTCATGTGTAAATAATCCCATTTGAAATGTCAAAAACCGTAGTTTGCTAGCGGATAAATAGGAAGGAAGAGAATATATAACTGGGTAAAAAAATCGGATAAATTTTCTGTTGATGCAATCGTTGCCGTAGTAACAATTGCATATTAAATTGGTTTTTGAATCATCTGTCAAATAATTGTGTCACAAAAATTCACAAATTCGATCATTTTAGCTTATTAAAAGTGTATTTTTAAATAAAATTGGAAATATTTTCAACATGCACCGATTTGGGACAATTAATGATGAAATAATTGATAGCGAAATAGAAAATTCAATTCCTGAGAACACAAAGAGAGTCTTTTTCTCTTTCTGTAGAATCAAATTCTAAGGGGCAAAAATGTATTCTAATTGTACCTTCAATAACTGTTCATTTTAAAAAGTATTTCCATATTTTATTTTGATTATGCATTCGTGGAATTGCCGTACTAAATACCATTCGAGCTCAGATTTTGAGCAGGATATTTTTTTGCTTGCCCTCTCATACTTACCTTCAGGCAATTTATCTCGATCTGATCCACAAAATCACTCGAGCTGCGCTCTCGTGATTTTGTCGGAACAGTTCTCGTTAAATTTCCTGAAAGTAAGTATTCGAGACCAAGCCAAAAAATATCCGGCTAAATCTGAGCTCTTATGGTATTACCTACGACTATTTTTAAAAACATGTCTTATAGTTTTATAAGTGTTTGTACACAATATAGGTATACCTGACTTACAGAATATAGATTATAGAATATCAACATAACAAAAATATACACGCATTCCCGCGTCGGCGGAGGTGAAAAAAATCAATATTCTGAAGAAAAGCCAGAATTCAAAAGATTTTTGTTTTTTTTTTGTTTCGTTTTTGCCGCCCCCTAACGTTTGCCGCCCTAGGCAACCGCCTAGTTCGCCTAATGGTTGCGCCGACCCTGGATGATCCTCCTTATTACATCCTCCTCATGCATTAACTAAGTATGGCAATAGTATCAAAATCAAAATGTACGTATCCCATGTTATGAATAAATGTACTCACCTACAAATCGTGGTACTGCTACTACCTGTAAGGTTGCTAGTACTGTTAGATGAGGTTACTGTGGCCGTTGGTGTAGTGGTTCCATTGTTAAAACCATTGGTTCTTAAAATATTATTGGTTGTACCACTACTAATACTGCTAGCGGTTGCAGTTGCTATTCCTGTTAAATTCCTATTTCTTGATTCCAGAGGACTAAACAAAATATAAATGATTAAATTCGCAGAGATATCATTATTCTTCAATTACTTACTGTTGTTCTTGTTGGTGGGCTGTGAGCTGCGCTAAATCATCGGCCAGAAAACTACATTTAGCGCATGATCTCTTATTATGCACCTTCAAAACATGAGTGGCTAATCTTTCAGACCTGGCGGCCTTATAATCGCAAAGGCCGCAAACAAATGGTTTTAGATGGGTGTTCATGTGTCTTTTGAGACACCAATTATCTACTCCAGACCAGGAACAATAGCAACAAGAAAATCTCTTCTCGCCCTTTTTCTTGCCGCTTTTAGAAGAAAGTGTTGCAGGCTTTCCCAAAGCTTTAGTATCTGGTTGGCGAATTCCAGGAACTGTCGGAGTTCTAGGTATTCCATTGAATCCAGGTATGGATAAAGAACTTATTGTCGAGAGGGTATTTACAGCTTCTGGTTGAACTATCGTTGAAGTGGAATTGTATTTTTGATAATAGCTCATACCTGATGCATTTTTAGGTGGATGTCTTCTTATTCTGTTTAAATCGTATGGGTGATCTCTATGCATTCTTAGAAAATGTTTTTTAACATGATCCGCCCTATTGAACTGTTTTTGACATACATAACATTGAAAAGGCTTTTCTTCTCTGTGAATATTTTCATGCCTTGTAAACAAATCTCGCCTGTCAGTGGCGTATGGACAATACGTGCAACTATATCGCTTATTTGATCCTGCGGAATCAGAATTATTAGACACAGTACTGCTAGTACTGGACTGATTAACACCCGCTTGAACAGAACTCGATGCAGCCATATTTTGATATTCTTCTGTTGGAATTGCGTTCGTTGCACTGGATGATGCAGCCTTGGTAGTAATAGGCCCAATATCCAGTTTGTTTTTTAATCTTTGGAGAAATTTGACTATATCTTGAAGAACTGGGTTGTCTTTAGTCAAAGCCTCACATGACTCATCAATATTAATATTATGTTGTCTTCCCAGATGAATCCTTACGCATCTAGCCCAAGCGCTTTCATATGAACACTGCGGACAATGAAATGCTCTCAAGTTTGAATGCGTTCCTAACCAGTGCTCAGCGACTCTATTCAGATAACCAACCGATTCACAGTCAGAGCATCTGAATAATTTCTGTGACGGATTATAAGTAGCTATTTTGGATTGCGTCCATTGTAAAGATTCTTCACTATTAATCCATTTATCCTCCACTTGAGAAACTGCATTCAAACTTAGACCCATAGTTGCTTTATGCGTCGGAAAAGTCGAATTCAATATACCAGTAGCTGGAAAACCATTTTGCATTAAAGCAGCCAACCCAAATGCAGTCAGATGTTCTTCGGGCTTCAAAATCGGCGCATCGACTTCATAGTCGATAGGAGTCAATCCCCGATCTGTGCCTGATGATGGAATTCTTTCCGTGGTCGATAAATCTGGCAGACCGTCCTCGCCATATAATTTTCTAGTTATTTCTTTAAACATATCTTCGTAACAATCTATGGCACTGCCTGCCATTGGCATTGCGACCTCCATGTTGAGATTGCTTTGTGATTCGGTACTTCGTTTAGAAGAACCTGTAAATTTTTATTTGGTTAAAATGACAAATTATTAGATAATAAGTATATTTTCTACGAAAAGTAGGTATATTATCATAATTAACAGCTTCTGAAAAATTTGGGTACGTAACAACCTCAACATACAAAGTACGTACTGTTATTGTTTAGTTGTTGTCAGCTGTCCAATATTAGTGTATTGCTATCAAGTTATAGACATTGACAAACTTACTACTTTTTATAGCATTTCAAGAAAAAATATCCTAGAACTATTTTTGTCTGATGAAACAATATAATTTATTGCCGGAATCTTCTAAGCTCATTCATTTGGACTCACTTAAAATCCTTAAATAAATCGTGCCTGTCGTAACTTTTCCAATTGCGTAATTTTTAGGTACTATTTCGAAAGACGACTCCGCTGTTAAACTATCATTAAATTGCAACCTTTCAGTTAAAGTGGAGTAAATTAGTTAGCTAGTGCTGCAAAAGCCAATGCACAATGACATACCAGTAGCGTAGAAAATAAGAGAACATATTATTCGATATTTAAAATATGTTTGTCATTATTTGCCCTTTAAGACTCTTTTTGAGAATTTAAGGATGCTTCGAATATATTGCTATATTTTCATGTAGTGAAAATAAAATTGTTGGAATGCAACAACTTTTCAATATGCCCATTTGCCGGTTATTATCAATAGTGCCTAGATATATCAATTTTACTACGATAACTTCGGACCAAACCTAAATTTGTAACAAATGGTAAAAATATCGTTTAAATATTATACATATGCGCATTTTAAGTTACCTATACATATTAAATTGGAAATGACGATACATTGAAATATCAACAAAGATACGTTCGATACCTAATAGAAAATTATAGGTACCAACATAATATAAAATAGCTCAGAAAGTTTGGCTAATTATATGATATTAATATGAGATGAATGTTTGCAATACTCACGTGCATTTACAATTCACTGCGACAGGTTGACAATGCTTCTGCTGCCCCAAACTATGATCCGCCCTTGCATTTCTAAAGAGAACGTGTAGCCTAGTATTGGAAAATCACTCACCGAGTCAAACACAAGCTAGAATATCAATTTTTGAGATGTATGCAACACATTCCTAGCACTTTGAACACTAGTACACGAAAATTTATATCTCTTTCGGTTGTAATTAGGAAAAATCAATTAAATTAGATGCGTAGAGGGTGCGTTTGGGGGTGTATGCAGGGCCGTGTGGCCCTGTACAGGATCGTTGCGTTGTCTGACCCACCCAATACTGCGGCACCCGTTGCCCGCGACCCGACGGGGTGGCTGGCCCCCCCCCACCCCCACCCCGCTCGCCTGCTTGCCGCCCTGCAGCCATCCCCGGCGCGGTGGCGCGGCTTCTTCTGCACATTCAGGGGCGTGCGGGTGACTGGGCTCCGAAAATTAACCCCCGCTTGAACATCGTATACGAGGGGTTGTTTGCCCGGTGTGTTTCAAGTTTAGATCGCGCGTAGCGGCTCAATGGACCATATTTAAATTTGTTCACATCAATTTCTTACGTACGTGACGAATTTTGAAAGATCATTATATTCTTAATTGATCTAGATTATACTGATAGAAGCAGGATTTCGGATGTAATAGATACACAGGGTCAAGCAAGCAAGCAAGCATCTGTAACAGCTTCGCGGCAAGCCGCTCAGACAATCATAGAATGCCCTGTATGGTTTGGAATTTCACAAAATAAACCTGTCTTGAACAAAATGTTTTAGCGGACTTAAATCTAGTTTCATTTAAAGCTTTTTTTTTCCTTTTTTTTTTTTCTTTTTAATTCTATAATCATCTTGTCTGGTTTGATTTGGGCAAAGCCTATATGCTACTTTGGATAATTAAATTTAAATTGATAAAAGTAATCAAGCAAAATGATCGAAAAAATATATCCCCAGCAACGGGCTTGATACATTATCTCCGGAGATTCATTTGTTTGCTATTTTTGGAAAGCGACCCAACATATGACGTCATTGTCCTGCTGTCTATTATATTTTTATCTGATAACTTTAATAACAAAAAGTCGTTATGTGGCGAACTAGGTACTCTGGAGATTTAGGATTTGGTTTCTCAAACTATTTTTACCACGACCCAAAAAATATTTTTTTAATTTTCTGTCACGTCTGTCAAAAACATAAATAATTCGAATTATAGAGACAGTCGTAGATATCAGCGGTTCTGTTTTATATTTATTCACATTCTACACAAATGAAGATTAATTTTACGGCAAAGCGTTCCATCGGTAGCAATGCGAAGAGAATTAGTTAAGTGAAGCTTGTTTTAATGGCGCAGATGACAGAATATAGCAATTACATTTACGTTGGATTCTCTACCATCGTCGTAACTATAAACTTATACCTAATTGAGTAAAATTACAAACGTCCAATTATATAAAATCCAGCCGCCCAGTTTTTTTTTTCAATTTTGAAACTCTTAGAAAAGGATATCTGATGTGTTTCATTTGCGATATGCAGTATTTGGAAGTTTGACATATAAAGTTCAAATTATAGACCGCTTGAAGATAATAACTTACATTCCAATTTCAATGTAACACAAGGAGTAGTTTTTATGTACACTGTGTCCCAAATTGCTTGTAATCACATATTTTCTCGGTAACCAGCAGAGATAGAACTTTGCGCTTTAGCCGTTCTTTAGCGAACCTATATCAGTTTTTCGTGAAACTTTGAATGCCGCAAAAAGAATTTAGTCCAAGAAACGGGGATCTGAACAGAGGGTTTACCTCAACCTAATTAGAAATTAACATTTTTTGCTGGGATCGGTCCATTTTAATATGCTAAATAATATATCAAGTTTGCGACCTTGTACTTCCATAGGATTTTTAGTTAGGGGTGGTTTTTAGGGGTAATTTGCGGTTTATGGAGAACGCTGCTCAAAGGGATGGTCCAATAACAAAAAGTTTCAAATGATTGTTGTAGCTGAAGTTTTTGGCTATAAAAAACTCAGCGACAGCACGCCTTTATCTTCTATAGTTTTTTTTCTGCAGCGTCTTGAATAGTACCATATTTTTGTTCAAGGTCACTGAATCAACGTTTCGCTTGTTTGCGCGCATTTGATGCAGCAGCGGCATAATCCTATTTCAATTTTTCAAACACCACATTATTGCTAATGAAATGCACTCTCCAATGCTTTTTTGTTCGAATATTTTGCTTGAAAATTAAGCGAGCAAGGACTTGCCTAATGTGCGAGGAAGCTGTAAATTGATCGAAAACTACCCCTTTCTTGCGTTCACTGTAATTTCTAAACGGGGCCAAATATTTGATGACAGTTTTCGACAATCGGCAGCTTATTTATTTCTCTCATAATGCCCCAGCGGATTTTTTTTTTCGTTAATTACTCGATGACTTCCGCGCGACGTGTTCAGGTCAATAAATCATTAAGTAATTAACGAAAAAACAAATCCGTTGGGGCATTATGAGAGGAATAAATGGGCTGCCGATTGTCGAAAACTGTCACCAAATATTTGGCCCCGTTTAGAAATTACAGTGAATGCAAGAAAGGGGCAGTTTTTGATGCAATTTACAACTTCCTCGCACATTAGGCAAGTCCGTGCTCGCTTAATTTTCAAGCAAAAAATTCGAACAAGAAAGCATTGGAGAGTACATTCCATTAGCAGTAATGTGGTGTTTGAAAAATTGAAATCGGATTATGCATTCGGCCGCTGCTGCATCAAATGCGCGCAAACAGGTGAAACGTTGATTCAGTGTCCTTGACCAAAAACATGCTACTATTAGACGCTGTAGAAAAAAAACTATAGAGGATAAAGGGGTGCTGTCACTGAGTTTTTTATAGCAAAAAACTTCAGCTACAACAATCAATAGAAACTTTTTGCTATTGAACCATCCCTTTGAGCAGCGTTCTCCATAAACCGCAAATAACCCCTAAAAACCCTATGGAAGTACAAGGTCGCAAACTTAATATGTTATTTTTTAGTACATGATCGATCCTCCCCAAAAAATGTTAACTTCTAATTATGTTGAGGTAAACTTCCTTCATTGCTTCGCCTGATTGTGCCACCTTGTTTCGTTTCCGAGATACAGAGTGAAATAGAAATGTTGCGCTTTTTGGGATGGTATCATATTTCGGACACCCTGTAAGAGAGAAAAAAGGCGAAAACTGCTATAGATAGATATTTTTACGTAGAATCCAGTGTTGTAGTCAAAAAAATCTTCAGACAAACCGTTTTCGAGATATGGCCAAAAGTTAGTATTTTTTAAGTCTCAAAAAATTATCTTTTTTTTTTCTCTTTAAAATGATCTATCACACTATGCACTTGTGACGTAAACTAACCCTCAAAAACGCAGTATTAAAAGTAAAACCCAAGTTGGCTATGGAATTATAGGTAGGGTCCATAAGCAAAATTAAACAAAATAAAAAAATTATTAACCATTTTTTAGTCTGAACTTGATAAACCTAATAATCTTAATAAACCTAAACAGGATGGCGCTCCTGCCCACAATGCGCAAATTATAAGGTTATTTCTGTTTGAAAATTTTGACGATCGCTGGATTGGTATAAATGGATCAGTAAAGATATGTTTTCGCTTGTGCGTCTGGCGGTTGCGTTGGATAGCAGTTGCCAGATGCAGCCGCTGGCGGTGCAGTTGGATGTTTTCATTTGCTGCGTTGCGTAGCAATACACTTTCCCGATGAAGAGGAAACGTTTATTGATGGTCTTTCTAATAGAAGAGGAAGAAGAAGAAGAAGAAGAGTGCCTTACGGCTTTGACAACAAAACGTACAAAAACTCGCGAGAAGAAGTCCTTGTCATCTTTCTCTTCGGGATTATAAAGTGCACTATGATCAATTAATTTGTTATCTTCTGCAGCAGAAAACTTTGGAACCATTTTTTTTGCACTTAACTATAAGAAATAAACTCTCAACAGCAGAGCTGCTGCCGCCAGACTGACACACGGCTCAGTCGAGACGCAGACGCTTGCGGTCGGATGTCTGGCGGTACCGCTGAGACGCACAAGCGAAAACGGTTATGATAAAACGCATTGAATCAGTAGGCTGCTCGACGCAACCACGAGACGCACAAGCGAAAACATACCTTAAGGTGGCCTGCTAAGTCGCCAGCCAGACCTCTCAAAAATAGATTTTTTCGTTTGGTCTTACTTAAAAAACAAAATTTATCTAAATCAAGCATAGAGCTATGGAGCAGCTACAAAATTAAACCATTCGGGCATTTAGATCTTTGGAAAATAGACCTATGATGATGATGATGATGAATACTCTAAGAAGAATTCGCACTGTGTGCCAATTGTGTTGTGTGTTCGGGAGGGGGGGAATAATCATTTTGAACAGTTTTTTTAGTTATGTAGAAATTGTTTATTATTATAATTAAGTTTATCAAGATTAATAAGTTTATCAAGTTCAGAGTAAAAAAGGGTTACTAATTTTTTTGTTTGTAGACCCTTTGATACCCATAATTCCATGCCAACTTACGTTTTTCTTTCAATATTACGTTTTTAAGGGTAAGTTCACGTCAGAAGTGCATATTATGATGCATCATTTTAAAGAGAAAAAAAAAGGCGAATTATTTGAGACCATAAAATACAGGGTGTTCCATTTACCTGAAAAATACTAACTTGGGGCTATATCTCAATTTTATTTTAACAACACTGGATTCTACGTAGAAATATCTATCTATATCAGTCTCCACCTTTTTTCTTACAGGATGTCCGAAATATGATACCACCCCAAAAAGCGCAAAATTTCTATTTCACCCAGTATCTCGGGAACGAAACAAGGTGGCACAATTTTACTTGCCAAATCCTGATTATGATTATACTCCTTTTTATTACAAGGTTTTCAAAACACTGAAATCACCATAGTTGAAGACAAAATACACGGCTCAGAAAGTTTTCAATAAAAAACTAGAGTAAATGTTCAAAGTGTGCACCATTAGCGTTAAAACACCCTCGACAACGACGAATCCAGTTGTCACAAACTGGACTGGTTTGGCTGGTGCGGAATTTGGTCTGCTGCAGCGAAAATACGATTTCGGAGGTCATTTCCTACTTGAATTCCACGTCCTTTGTGAACTAGAGATTTCATATGACCAAAAAAATGGAATTCAACGGGATTTAGATCTGGTGATCTACCAGGTCATTTTCAAAGCTCTGGCGCATTACGCCATATTCAACGATTGCCAAATGTATCTCTTAGATGTTGGACAACAGTTCCTTTAGTGTGAGCAGGGGCGGTGTCATAAAGATACCAC